AAACATCTGATTTTGCCCTATTTTGCTAAAAAAATGCAATCTTAACCCCTTACGATTTGAAATTTTTCATAAACACCTAATTTTTACCAATTTTTCACTGAAGAAAAAAGTAAGGTTAATTTCTTACATCGGATTTTTTTTCAAAAACATCTGATTTTGCCCAATTTTGCTAATATATGCAAGGTTCACCCCTTACAATTTGAGATTTTTCATAAAAATCTCATTTTTGCCAAATTTTGCTTAAAATGCAAGGTTAACCCTTTTCAATCTGCAATTTTCCTGAAACATCTGATTTTGCCCTAATTTGGCAAAGGTTAACCTCTTACAATTTTTGATTTTTCATACAAATCTGATTATTCCCAACTGAATTTTGCTAAAAATGCAAGGTGAAACCTTTACAATCTGAAATTTTTCATTAACACGGTTTTGCCGTATTTTGCTTCAAAAGCAAGATTAACCCCCTTACATCTGAAATTTTTCAGAAACATCTGATTTTGCCCAATTTTGTTAAAAATGCAAAGTTCACCCCTTGCAATTCTAGATTTTTCATACAAATCTGATATTGCCCAGTTTTGCTAAAAATGCAAGGTTAACCCCTTTCAATCTGCAATCTTCCAGAAACATCTGATTTTGCCGTAATTGGGCAAAGGTTAACCTCTTACAATTTTTGATTTTTCATACCAATCTGATTTTTCCCAATTTGCTAAAAATGCAAGGTTAACCCCTTACAATTTGAGATTTTTCATAAACATTTAAATTTGCCCAATTTTACTACAAAAAGAAAGGTTAACCCCTTACAATCTGAAATTGTCCAAAAAGATCTGATTTTGCCCAATTTCGCTAAAAATACAAGGTTCACCCCTTACAATTTGAGATTTTTTCATATAAATGTGATATTGCCCAGTTATGCTAAAAATGCCAAGTTAACCCATTACAATCTGCAATTTTCAAGAAACATCTGATTTTTCCCAATTTTGCTTAAAAAAGCAAGGTTAACCCCTTTCAATCTGCAATTTTCCAGAAACATCTGATTTTGCCCTAATTTGGCAAGGTTAACCTCTTACAATTTTTTATTTTTCATACAAATCTGATTTTGCCCAATTTTGCTAAAAATGCAAAGTTAACCCCTTACAATCTGAAATTTTCCATAAACACCTGATTTTGCCTTATTTTGCTAAAAAATGCAAGGTTAACCACTGACAATTTGAAATTTTTCATAAACATTTAAATTTGCCCAATTTTACTAAAAAAAAAGGGTAACCCCTTACAATTTGAAATTTTTCATACACATCCTATTTTGCCAAATTTTACTACAAAAGCAAGGTTAACCCCTTACAATCTGAAATTTTCCAGAAAGATCTGATTTTGCCCAATTTTGCAAAAAAATGCAAGGTTCACCCCTTACTATTTGAAATGTTTCATAAACATCTAAATTTTACTAAAAATGCAAGGTTAACCCCTTACAAGCTGCAATTTTCCAGAAACATCTGATGTTTCCCAATTTTGCTAAAATGTAAGGTTAACTCCTTGCAAACTGTTAAATCAATACATGAAGTGTCCCATTTGACTTTTTTAAAACAAATTCTTTTCCGTTTTTAGGGTAAAGGAATTTTCTCTTTTTCCTTTCTCTTTTGTTGTTGCTATATTTTGCGAATTAACTCATTCGTATGGAATGCTCATATTCAATCAAAGAATATTTCACACATAGGGGCCTCAATTATATTTTTTTAAATTTAATAGAGACGCATTGATCGTGCTATCATACACCATTCTAATACCATTGAGAATTACTGTATTGTTTTGAATGCTCACAATTAAAGACACGTTATTTGAAAGATGTATAAATAATATTTATATTACAATGAACATCTTTATTCTTTCCCGGTATAATTGATGGCGTTTCTTACGTCAATTGGCAATCGCGTCATTATATAATGATAGTCAAATTGATCAAACGAAACTCCGTTTTGATTATAGTCAATTATGAAATATTCATTGATTTATGACATACACCTTTGTTTCAATTTTGATACTACCCGTAGACCTGCCTAGCAGCTGTAGATATCAAACTAAACCAAAGTATAAAAGATAGAGGGTAAGAAAAATCAAAAAGTTATGTGCTAGTCAAGCTTTCAGGGATCGGTCTGAGCCATGACAATGCCCCAGCCGATCCCTTAGTTCTCTTCCGGGGTCTCGGCGTCCCCGACCAATACACACTTCCTTCCCTATCCATCCATATAACCCCGGAGGGCCAGGCACCATGTAAAAGCAAAGAGCTAAGGGAGGAACAGGGCGGCCCCTAAGCCCTGATCCTCCGAGTGGACCACATGCCCTGAACCTGTACGAAGGCGCCAACCTGGAACTCGCGGACAGTACCAGCAGCAGTGCTTACCGATTAAGCTAAGGTACTGTTGGTACTTTACGACGGGAAATTAAATCTCTTATAGTGAATATTGAACTCATACGTTAAAAACCAAAAAGACACCAGCGGGATTCGAACCCGGGACCCCGCTAACCGTGGACGACGAATCGTAACCACTCGGCCATTTCGTTACCTTAGAATTTTCCTTAAACTGAGAAAAGTTGTCTTTATAGGTGAGCAAACGCGCCAGGAAGATTACTGGGTCCATTTGCTTTACCTTAATGGGTAAAAACAAGTCGATATAATGAGCCCATTGTGTTTGGTTTGTTAGGAAGCTGCATAACACAGCCTAATGTGCAAAACAGTTGTGTGCTAGGCGGATCATTACGCAACAATGAACACCGCAACTGTGTATTTTCAAAAGGCAGACGCGTAGATTTCTACTCTTTGTACTATCTGGGCACATATAGATTCTCACCTCTCTCTTCAGCTATTTCGACTTTCTTAAAAAGAAAAATAGAGACTGTCAGCGAATCTCCGGGAGTTGAAATAAGGATCGTCCAAAAAATGCAAGGTTAACCCTTACAATTTGATTTTTTTTCATAAACATCTAATTTTGCCCAATTTTACATCAGCTTATGCTAACAAATTATCAGGTAACTGGATCATTAAACGGGACAGGTGCACATCGGCCTTGGAGCTCAGACCATGTGTCATGCACTCCTCAGCTCAATGCATAGATGATGCACATAACACTATGGGTAGTACAGGCACAGCTGGGGGTATTGCCCAAACAATGATGAACGCATTGCGTATGCTTAAAGAATTACCCACAATTCCGGTTTTTACCGTTTAGGTCTCAGGCTGGCTCTAATCACTTTACGCGATCCCCTGACGTCTCATACACTGATTTTAGGCAAAATAGTCAGACTTTCGCGGTCTAGTAACCAGACTTTGACTCTTAAAGAAACATCGAATGAAAAGGGAAATATCAAATGCATTTTGCAAAAGATCGAATGCAAACATACCGATGAAACATCGAGTACAAATAGCTCGAAATGTCAAACATATGTGTGAAACATTGCTCACATATTTGAGAATATCGCAAATATATTGTAAAACAACACACACAATTGTATCGAAAAACATCGCACATTTAATGCAAAAAATCGAACATAATATTGAAAACATCGCACATATATATCGTCAAAAACATCGCACATATAAATTGAAAATCGCATATAAATGTAAAACATCGCACTCATATATTGAACATCGCACATATATTGTAAAAATCGCACAAATATATTAAACATCGCGCAAATAATGAAAAACATCGCACACTTATATTGAACATCGCACATAAATGTAAAAGATAACAAACACATATTGAACATCCAACATATATTTTGTAAAATATTGAATATTGCAACGTTTGACACGCCATATATGCCTGACTGCTTTAAGGTATTCATCATTTTGGGAAGTAGTTGAAAGGTATGCGCTATATGAAGTCTGTATGAGCTATATGAAGTATGCAAACTCGGTGAAGCGTTTTCGTCACCTCTACGGAGCATCTGAGGGTATTGACTCAAGGTTACGCGCATGCGCTTATCAGCTTGTTGTGCAAAGTTCATAGTCTGGTTTCCAGACCAAAAGATTTTAACTATTCCTTTTGAATAGCCTCTGGTCATACATTGCATTACAATTTACGTCACGTGACTAAAACGGGAGGAATTCCTCTTTTTTCCCCGAAAATTTCTGAAGTTTGTCGAATTCGTCTCGTCGAAAATCGGATAGCGCCTGAGTATTTTCGAGTATAATATAGGTTTATAATTAACGGCTTATTGCTTTTTAAATATTTTGAGTTGATAATTAATATTCACTGCGACGATTTTGTGCATCAAATATACTCGGATCGTATGGGCGAGCGTTTTGCTGCGTCACGTACAATTTTGAATTTGACGACCGTTACCGAGATTTTCCAAAACTCGGTCTTCATCGGCTCCGCCTGCTATTTGGGTGCCTAATTTTGAAGATTCCAGATCAACACAAGTCAATATTGTCTTACAGAAACATCAAACTATATTATAAAAACTGTATGATATTACGAAGCAAGTGATTTATTTAAAAATTTTGATCAGAACATTATGAGCTAAAAGTGATAAAGCGAAATCGGAAACGAAGCCGAGCTTTGAAAAAGGGCCATCAATGTCGTCATGTTCATTTTTAGCCACGGGGGCTGCCTGACCTACAATTTAGACGTGAGCGTCGGGAATAATTGTCAGGTCTGGGAACCAGACTACAAAGTTCACAGACAGACTGTGTACGTTCTATTAAACCCGTGGTTACCACTTTTTGGTAAAACTATGGAAGGCTGACATTGCAAAATTAAAGAAATCAGTTGTTTCCAAACGTATCATTTTCATTGTTGAAAGTACAAAATAACTCACAAACGCTATCAAAGACTTAATCAAAATGCCACCACCTCAAATTCTCACTGTGTTAATATGCAATTTTTGGAAAATCTGTTGCCAGCCACGGCTTTAATTTATACCATTGTGGCTGCCCATACAAAATGGCGCTCAAAATTTACAAACGAACGAAAGGTACATAATGAAAAAGTCCGAATTCAAAATACTCTGCTCATTGCTGACGACGCATACAGCGAACTTTAGTAGTCCAATTGCTTTATTTATAGTCAAAGTTAAGGAAGCCTATAACGTCTACTGGCAAATCAAAATGGTACTACGGCGGTGGGCAAATGTTCAAAACCCTGAAGTTTAAGCTCATTGGATATTAAACTATTCAAGCAATTAGTGAAAAACCATGCACAACCCACTTTTGATTTCGTCAGTAGCACTCAATATTAAAAACAAATCAGTCAATTTACAGATCGTTGGAAGTCACCTAAATATTTATTTATTTCTCCTAAATGACAGCTAGCAAGCCAGATTGCGAAATCTCACGGGGTGTTTAGTACCTGCGCTATTTTAAAGTATGAACTTTCTCTTGAAAAAGTACAGACGTGAAAAAAAAAACACCACGTGCGAGCGCGAGTGCACAATAAGCTCTGGCGGTTTTGCACGCGTTGATAGAGGTACGCAATGGCTTTACGTGGAGTCTATCGGATCTGTTGCCACGTGTTGGATCAAGATCAATGGCCAAGACCCATATGAGCAGACCGACAATGTCCTCCCTCACGTCTTGAAGACCCATTTAAAGTAGCACAGGGCCTGGGGCAGGAGTTGGCCCAGCTGATGTATTACTGTAGTACACAGGGGTACATTCCAAGGCCTGTTACGAACGAACCAAGAAGCCACCTATACCTGATTTAGTTAGGCCATATTTGGGGGCAAATTGGGTCAGTGGGAACCACGCCATTTGCTATTGATACAATTTTTTTTTTTTTATCGAAGCATAAATTATATTCTGGTTAAACTATACCTTCTCAACTTATTCACACTAAAAAAGAGCAATTCATTCAACATTAATAGAAATTTGACCGAAGTGTCATTAAAATTGGTGCACAACAGTACAAAAGAATCGTTGATATTATAAAATAAAATTCTTGTAAAAGAAATAGTTGGCGTCTGTTTACATTCAGTCAATACCACTACAAACATAAATAGTGCTTAGCATATAACACTTTTGTTGTACCCACTTTTAACTTAATAAGCCGGATTCAGCCTATTCATTGTCGTTATGGGGTAATCCTATACAATAGCACTGCCCAGCTCACAGGTGACAGTGAGTCAGTGCTATAGGTCGAAAATTCCAATTCATTCCATCTTGAAAAAAAAACTTGTCCCCTTTTTAGTATTTAGCGTTTAACCGCGCACACATCGAACGGCTCTGGTACGTAGGTGAAGCTGGGGACACCCCTCATGGACGGTTTGGGCGCCCCCAACGGCAGCTTGAAAGTGAACCTCTGGAACAGGTTGGTGACGAACAGGAACATCTCCATCCTGGCCAGTCCCTCGCCAAGACAACTCCGTCGACCTTTGACACGAGAAGACAAGAGGATCGACAATCAGAAAGGAAGATGTTTTTTTCGGAAAGACAACAAGTATGCATCCTCTTGTGGCACCGTGACTGGTCTGCAATCTTACGAATGTCAAGTTCTATGAGAGACACAAGGAGACTGATGTTGTGAGGTCAAGGAACCAGACTGGCTTCGTGTTTGCATACAAAATAGTTGTCTTCCAGCGAATGATGGCGCTGTACTTGGATGTAAAGGTAAAGGGGAACAACAGTCGAAATGCTGCAGGACGTTGATTTAAGCAAAATTGCAAATTAAGTTTCTTCATTCATATAACTAGACTCGATGATATTTGTTCCCCACGGCCAACTTACCTATTGAGAAGGGTATGAACCTCTCGTGTTGGATGAGTTTCGTGCCGTCTTTGCTCAGAAAGCGGTCGGGGTTGAACTCCTCCGGTCGATCCCAAACCCTGGGATCGTTCATCATCGCCCACAGGGCAAAAAACACAGCTAGTACATACAAGGCAAGAAAAAGTATTGTTATCGAATTAGTCTGACTTGTATACTAACACCCCTTGAAATGATTCCATCTGACTTGCTGACGTTAAGAAGAAGTCAAGAAATATATACTGGAGATTTCTAACATTAATCATCAAGGGTCTCAGTAATCATTGAGCGAAAATGTGTTTCGGGATTCAAAAGGTTGTGCATTTGTCTTTATTTTCGCTGTACAGGGTGAGTAAAAAAGAACGAACCGCAAATGTCGGGACTATTGTTTTATTGACTGAGGTCCTAAGTGTAGCACCTGCAAAGTCTAGGATATAAAAGCCCAAGTCATAAACTTTCTTTTAGTACAAGACTCATTCAAATCACTCATGTAGTATTGAAGTTACAGAATTTTAAACACAACCACCGTTTTAAAGTTCTGTCCACGAATCACAAAAAGGTAAGTTTTTTTTAAGCAAAACGCAAACAAGTCACATATAGGGATTGATGTGAATTGTTTTCGTTTTGCTGAAAGACCGCGCCTGTTTTTGTGATCCGTGGATGGCCAGAACTTTAAAACGGTGGTTGTGTTTAAAGTTTCTTAACTTGGAAAGTACATGAGTGATTTGAATGATTCTTGTACTAAAAGAAAGCTTATGAATTGGGTTTTTCATATCCTACATTTTGACAGTCCCGACATTTGGTGTTTTTTTTTTTACTCACCCTGTATTCTTGATAGATCTTATTGGAAACGAACAAATTTCATGACAAGCAATTCGCAAAATACTGCATGTAATAAACTTAACTTTTCGGTTTTTTTATGGTTTATTTTGTTCTCCTTTCTCCCCCCCCCCCTTCTTTTCCCCCAATAACTTACGCCCGCCTTTCGGGATGGTGTAACCTCTCAACTTGATTTCTCGAGTCGCCTTGTAGGGTAGCGCAGAGGCCGCAACGGGCCGTAAGCGCTGTATCTCGTTCAGGACCGCGTTGGTGTAGGGCATGCTGGGACGGTCCTCACAAGATGGCTGCCGGTCACCTCCAACCACCTCACTGATCTCTCTCTGGATCTGAAATGCATGAAAATACGTATTGAGTTGCTAAAAGGAGGCAAGTGTCAGCCTAAAAATACTGCAAGTAAAACTCGTGCGATCCCCTGGCATGCTGGCATATTGTATGCAGGCAGTTAGTATCAATGTACCTAACCAAAATGGAATTACAAAATATACAGTCCATGATTGTGAAGCTATAAAGGGGCCTTTCACTTACGAAACAATAACTTTGACGACACTAAAAAAACAAAGTGACAAATCATGGGCTACCTAGGACCAAGGCCTGTAGAGTAACCCTGGAGGTCATGACCTGTTGCCTGGATCTAATCACTTAACCAGATACCATGAGCAATAACCACATATCAAGTTTGGTTGAGATTGATGATTAAACTTACAGTGAACCTAACCAACATGGAACACACACATATACACGTTTGTTTATGGTGTAAATCGAGGATTTTCTTTTGTTCCTCTTCCCTTTTCCCTGTTTGTAACTTAACTTTTTCGCAACAGCTCTCATTGGTTTTGTATACACGTTTTTTAATCAAAGTCGTCCTCGATTTGGTTCCTGTCCTCGATTCACCGATGGTGTTACACGTGTACTGTCCTCGATTTACACCATAAACAAACTCCTGCACTCGGGGAGCCCCTATTGTCACCCTTTTTTGCACTAAGTTTTTAGAAAGACCTCGTATGTGCGATCGTAAATTGGGTACCTTCGAGAATTGGGGACCCAATTGTCCCCTATTGTTCATTTTCAACGTCCCTTAGCTGTTGCATGCAGAAACAAACTCACGCATACACGCAAATAAGGAAATACCCTTTCGCAATATCCTCCTCCGGCTTACAGCCAGGGGTACTTACAGCCAGGGGGATCATGTAAAAATGGTAGGAGCTTTTCTGATTTGTGTTTTACCTTTTCTTGTACCTCGGGGTGATTCAGCACGGCAGCTATCACCCACAGGATCGTGTTTGAGGTTGTGTCCGTGCCCGCAGCAAACATGTCGAAGATCGCCCGCCAGATGTGCTGATAGGCGAAGGTCGCGTCCCCCGCGGCGCCTTTCCGCTCCGTCTCATCAATCTCTCCGATGTACATGTCGATGAAGTCCCGGTAATCGTTAGGGTCATAAGAATCCCGGTGTTCCTAGACATAGATAAGATAAATTACATTGTTATATACCTCTGTCTTCAAAACTGTATTTCCATTGGCCTAGAAAGATCACGTACTTGTTAAGGGTATAAAACATCATAGCACGCATATCACACTCCATGTTGTACGTACGGTGTGAGACGCTTGTGTCCCTGGTACCCACGCTATTTTCACCATGTTTTCATACATAAGTGGGAGCAGCGAACTAGCAGACGATCAGCTGTTTCGAGCACGCGACATGCATGTGAGTAATGAGTTGACGTTCGATTGTCATGATTGTTGTGTTAACTGCCGTTTGTTTTCGTAATATTTATTTCATCAAAATCCAACGAATCAAAGACAGAAGTATCACAAAACAATTGTTGACTGCTGTGATGTGGGATATGACGATTTCGCATAGGGAGGGGTGCCCCAGTTTCATGGTCTATGGCATATATGTTCATAAAAAAAAGGTGAAGAATCCTTAAAATAAATCCTGCATCCGGATCACGCCCAAAATTTAATTGATTCCTAATTTTTACCTAGGACCACCCGCAAAACAAATTTCATGAAAATCCGTCATACAAACCAACGCAGATGAAAGCACATACCTCCTGGCGGAGGTCAACAATTTCAGAGAAAGTGTTTACCTGAACAATTCCGTTGATCCGTTCTCTTATGTATCTCAGACATCCTTGAACTTTGGAGTAGAGCGGAGTTAGGAGAAGCACGGGGAATATATTTGCCAGCGATCCTACACCGGTAGTGTGCAAGATATACTGCAGACTGCGCACCAACTTCTTGAAATTCGGGTCGTCGTAATCGAAACGGTACCCGAAGCAGACGGTGCAGATGATGTTGGACACCGCGTTGTGGATGATGAGATTGGGATCGAAGGATCGATTCTTTTCATTTTCGATTCTCTCGACCAGGTATCGAGCCTCCTCGGTGATCTTGTGCTCCAGGCTCTTCTTGCCGACTCCGAGTTTTCGAAAGGCGCCGAGGCCGAAGTGTCGCTGCTCTTTGCCAGTCTCGCCGTCGGCCCAGAGAAAACTTCCTGTTGAAACGATAAGGCCAAAAAAAAGAAGTCTCCGGTTTCTGGAATGGAGCTTGCCCAAAAAGTGGTGCGGCGACGCGGCTCTTTTTTTTTTTTTACCCGATTTATTTTGCTTCAAATGTCGGCTGATGACTGCAAATGGTGGCCGACTAAACTTTAGCGCAAATATATGGGAGTCCAGAGAGGCCACATAAAGCTTATTGTCGATCGTCACCCCATATAAAAACACGTTAAAATCGTGCAGCAGCAGGATTCCAGTCAAATCAGTGAGTTTGGCGGTTTTGAGACATCATCTTTCATTGAAAAAAAAAACGTTTTCATTTTGCCGACGCGCATGGCTACGGCGACGCGCGCGCATACCAGAAACCGGAGACTTCTTTTTTTGGCCTTAGTGACGTTATAACAACAAATGAATTATTAATAAGATATATTAAAACAAGCCTAACCATCAACTGGAACTGGTTAGGCACTACTAATTTATTGCCTTACACATTTTAGGTGCTTAGATTACACCCAAAATACACTGTATGTCATGGTCACTCATTTTTGTAACTGCAGGGTGGACCAAAAAAACGCATCAAATCATGATCAAACCCATTCCCTCAAAAACGATGGAAAAGAAGATCAGGCCAGCTTCACTCACTCTTTAGCCAGCAAATTTCTCTAACACTTTCTTTTGGCAAAGAAAAGGTCCTCAGTATCACCAACCAAGTTTGAAGACTTCAATTTTTAAAGGAGAATTTTCTTCAATATTTGGCAGTGGCTTGCACATGAGAGGGAAGTCAAGTGATTTTAAAATGAGGCTAAGGACTGTACATGTCCATCGATCCATGGACCAACCATATATTTTACAAGACTGACTTCTGCATTCCTTGTCATTATTTAGTCTGGTGCCTGACTATGGAGAAATGTGCAGGGAAAGAACGTTGCAACCTGATGCTACTATTTCTTTCATATATCACATCTAAGAAGGTCAGTCATTACAAAAATGAAAGGACATGAATCCGGGACTGAGAAACATTTCCAATTTTGTTAGGAAATACTTAGACAATTTTCTAGACTCTGGTCTCCATAGACTTTGTACACAACCGCTGACGTAGCGTCAGGTTGCAACATTCTTTTCATGTGTAGAAATAGTGACCTAGTACCCGACATCCTAGATCAGTCAGTTGTCAGTTGATTGATGCAGTGCTGAAGGGTGCAGACAAGCAAATCGGCCCGAAATTGTCTACACCGGCCAAATCACGAGTTGCATACCCTCAAATTCTTCGGTATTTTAGCACATTGCGGGCCATGAACTTGAGATTTTGTACAAAATAATGTGTGGAAGCCGTGCAGATAGAAGACTGCGAGCTCGTATTTCTGTGAAATGTGGATGATGATGAGGCCCTTAAATGGCTCTATTTTGCACTGGAGCGTAGACGTCCATTTTCAAAATGGCGATGGGCTTCAGGACGACTTTTAGGGGTTATCATCTTTGGATGGAATTTTCTCCCAAAAGTCATTAATTACCTCCAGAATATTGAACAGAAAATGAAAGATGATGAAATAACTTTAATTTGATGTACGTCTTCAACACCTCAGAGAGTGGTGAGTATTTTTCCTGAATTTCTGAAGTGGGGCATTTATCATTGGGATCTATGGACACTTTTTTACTGGTCTGCAAGCTGTAGAGTTGTTGGACTGGTTATTTCAGGTGCCAATCTGTTTTCTTGTAATGCATGTTTCAGTACCTACGGTTTTAAGACTCTCATCCACGTATTGAGAGTCCCAAATTTTCGGACTACAATCCTGGCCAAATCTCGCTGGCCCCCAACCCCCAGCCCCCTGTCAATGTTGTCTCTCATTGCGCGGTGTGTGCTCCATCAGCTGGAGAGAAAACCACTGACCGGGGAGCGGGGGAGTGGGTAGCCTTGACCAAGGCGTTGGGCTTATCGATTCGCCGATAAAAAAAAATCGCCTATAAGAAAATCCCTAATCAACTTGGCAAGGCATAATTGCGTGATCAGATCGATGTCCGTACGCTGCTAGTGAGAAAGTAACTTGTACAGCGAGAGGCTATGCTTGTACGTACGCACGTACACACACGTACTCGTACAACAGCCATTCACACACAGTACATGTGCATGCATGAGCTAGTCCGCGCCGCGTGGCCTGTCGTTCGACAGGCCACGCGGCGCGTACCCCACACGTACGTACAGTACATGTACACCCACACGCAGAACACAGTAGGCCTACATTTACTGCCTTACACCATGCGTACAGTCCGTACTCACGTGTGTGTGCTTGCTGGTTGTGTTAGTACTGAACCGTTCGTACGGACAAGGGTCGGCGGTACACGTACACGCACGTAGCCGCGTTGATTGTGGGTGCAGGGCCCGATTATCTCCCTTCGACAAAAAGCCGAGGGACCGCATTGAACAAGGCTAGGGAGTGGGTAACCGTGGAAAGCTATTATTTCCAAGTGTCCCAACCATTTTGGTCGGGATTGTAGCTCCATTCCTACCTTTTGTACCCGTGACTGTTGATAACGACGGCACAGGGGCTCTGTCCAGGAGCCGTTCTCCTTTATTCAGCAGCAACTCCTTAGCTGCATCGATGTCGCTGATGACGGTGATAGGAGACCTACCGGGCGATAACCCGACCGACATGACGCCGCCGTACTGCCAGCCCCACTCCGCAAACAACTCATGGATGAGCTTCGTGGACCGGGCCAGCGCGGGAATGTTCCCCAGCAGGGGCCATCGCCACGGCCCCGGGGGAAGGTTCTTCTGTCGGTCTCGGAAAAACCTCAAGACCACCAGGAAAATCAGCAAGAAGACGCCGACAGACTTGAGATCGAGAGCGCCGGTGAGCAAAGAAGAAATAGCAGCTGAATTCTGACCAGCCATCGAATATCCAATTCCCCTCACGACTCTGTTGAATACGCCACGACGAATGAATTCCACAACAACCGGCCTTTTATGTCACTGTATTCAGCCGGCAAAGAGTACGCGTCTAGTTTGCGATCTCCAGCAGCTACAGATTACACGCCCAAAATAATGGTTATATAGAAAGTAGTTAAGAGGTCACGGCCATGGCGTCAAGAGATTTTGGTGCTGTTGTTCCTTCACATTTGGCACAGAACGTTAGGTAAAACCATGGAGCTATAAATAGTTCGATGGTACAACCATATTGTAAGTGCTTGCACGTATGGTTCCAAAGTTCATGACCGACTGTTTATTAAACGGAATACGTAATATTGGGAAGTAGTTGAAAGGTGTTGGCTATGAAGTGTACAAACTCGGTGAAACATTTCGTCACCTCTAGTCTATACGGAGTAGTTGAGGTATTGACTCTAGTCTGGTTCCCGGACCAAAAGATTCTGACTATTCCCGATGAATCAGGAATAGTCAGAATCTTTTGGTCTGGGAACCAGACTATATTGACTCAAGGTTTCGCGCATGCGCTTATCCGGTTGTGCAAAGTTCACAGGCAGAGTGTACATATTGCCACTTTTCGGTAAACTATGGAAGGCCGACATTGCAAAAATAAAATATTCGGTTATTAATGTTTCCAAACGTATCATTTTGATTGTTAAAAGTACGAAATAACCATCAATCGCTACCAAATACTTAATTAAAATGCCTTTTTTTTTTTTAAATGATTGGGGTGTTAATATGCAATTTTTGGCAAAATCTGTTGCCAACCACGGTTTAAATAATTTATACCCTTTTGGCTGCCCACACAAATGGCGCTCAAACATAATGAAATAATCAGAATTCAAAATACTCTGCTCATCGCTGACGACGCATTTTCAGCGAACCTCTGCCAACTCATTTGTTATTAGTAAAAGTTAAGGTATAGTACAATGTACTGGCAAATCAAAACGGTAAAAAGTGCCCCCCCCCCCCCACTGTACCATCCAGCCCCCCCCCCCCCAACACTTGCCCACCTCGGATGAAAATCCTGCTACGCTGCTGCTTCTAGAATGGCAGCTAGCAAGATGGAATAAATTCACGGGGTGTTTAGTACCTGTACGATTTTTAATCAAAGTATACGCTATTTGACAATAATTTCTGTAGGTTTCTTTTGGGATAAATGCAAATGATCCTATGATGTATTCAAGGTTTGATGACGTGGTAGCTTCCTGATTCGATATTTCTTGGAAAACTGAGTACGTGAAAAAAATATCAGCTCGAAATGCTCTCGGAAGCTGCGGCCCAACTCTAGACCTGCTATAGCCTACGTACCTCGTTCCCATATTGTGTCGAGCAGTTCCCTCCGCTACCTGCTCTCTCACCCTGGTATTGGATCATTTGCATGTCCAAAAATGTTGCACATGTATGCAAATTAGTAGTCTGGTGCCTGGCTGTGCTATTAATCAGTATTTGCTTCCGTATGCGGTGTCTGAGGTAAAAACAAAATTTTATCCAGCCAATATTCAGTACCACATTACATTATGAACAAAATAGAAAAGGGGCGTTTTTGAGACGGAGTGGACGTAATTATTTACATTGAACGTAAAAATACGTCATATACATGTCGACGACAATTAAAACACACAGTACTGAATATGAATCCATTACTTGCTATGTATTGCTGTATCGAATCAGGATACAGAAAGCACGTTTCTCATCAATGGGTTGCTATTGGAAACGAGTTTGGAAATAAAGTAACCCCTGGGGACGTATCTCATACCAGGGCGAGAGAGCAGGAATCGTATGGCTCGACGCCATGGGGACGAGGTGGTAATCCATTCGACCTACATAACAGTGCAATGTCAGCTATACTCTCTTCACATACTCTATTTACTGCGAATTCGGTAGCCTATGATTACCATGCCGGTTGTGTATAAAGCCTGAAAGTTCACTCCTAGTGGTGCGCTTCCAGATCGACCTCTTGCATATGAAAATTAACGTGGAAAAATTCAAAAATTTGTGATTATTTTTTTTTACATTGATTTTAATCATCCTCGAAAAAGGTCTTGGTACATTATTGCAGAATCTCAATTGTGTCAGGTCAACTCGCCCCCTCCTCGACTTGTCCCCTGACCGACTTGGCCCTTACTAACTCGCCCCCTAGCTGACTCGCCCCTAGCCGACTCGCCCCTCGGATAAATATTTCATTGAATAGTTTGTGTGCACTTTGAATTACATTATTTTTTTTTAAGGGAATATACATCATTTTTAGAAATGGATGGAATTGGGGGGTTGGAAATATATAGCAAATATAGTTACACTGACTTTTTTGAGGTTTTGGTTCCCTGACTCCATATAAAGAAGAAACAGAGCAGTTTACCTACATTGGGGAATTGTAAGGTCAGGGAACCAGTCTAGCTGGCTTGTTCCCGTTCATAGGTGTGTAATCGATTGCAAACAAGGGCGATGGTCAATTGGGGCCAGTATTTGAAAAAAAGCCATTTTTTCCCAACGCTGGTTGGCCGACCAACGTCGGAAATTGATACAAAAATGCCACTTTTCTTGAAAATGACAATATACCAGGTGCCTTGTTTTTACAGGATGCTTTACACTGTCATTCACTAACAGTCCAGCAAGGTATTTCAAAATGATTTGGTAGTTTTATTTTTTGATGTTTGCAAATGTTGTATTTTCCCTTTGAGTCAATAATTGTTCTACCTCCGCAGGGTGATATATTATTCTCTCTGACTCTCCGTGTATTTGGTTTATACGGGAAACCTGTTGTCTACAAGTCATGATTTATGTCATGCATGATGCCGTTATAATTATGTTCCATCACGGTCTTCTTTCTCTATGGTACGATTAATGTGCTCCCCGTACACAAGTTAAACCAACAGTAGGTCCCTACGAGTGAAATTATAAAGCGAACAAACTTATTCCACGCGTAATATGCCGATTGCAATGAATGACAAAATATAGTGCCTCCTCATTGTCGAAAAACCTCACATGGAATATAGTCACGTTTGGTTAGTGTGTCTTTTATCGGGGGGGGGGGGTTGGAGGGATCATTTTTTCGACATGGCTACTTTTCCAGTTCTGGAAATATCAGTCGTTTCAGGGGTGGCCTCCTTTGGGTGAAAATTTCTCCCAAAAGTCAATGGTCAACCCACCAAAAATTGGAAGAAGAAAATGAAAAAGCTGGCATGTTGATCATCTATGTTTCTCTGCAGCCTAAACACCTGTGAGAGTTCCAAGTATTTTTAAAAGAATGTTGAAGTATGGGTATTTTTTTTATTTAACACTGGTGTCTATGGGAATTTTTCTATACTAGGGTGCACCCCTAAGATTCATCAGAAATCATAGTCAGAATCTTTCGGTCAGGGAACCAGACTACGACATGGGGGACAAAAGGCCGTGATTTGGGGGACAAAGAACGTTGCCTGCCATTTCGGATACAAACAGTTGTCCGCGATCAGCTGTTTCATTAGATATGGCGGCAATATTGCCGACGTTCGCGTGACGTTCCAAAAAAAGGGCACTCGTTAAAAAAGGCGCTTGCGAAAAAGGGCTCTTTTATTGAAGGGGGGTTCGTATGAGGGGACCCCTTCCTCTGGACCTTTAATAATTTGGAGGACTTTGCCCCTTATTAATTCTTGAATGAATCATTGTAGGTGACTCCAAGCCTAGAACGTAGACTTATGATAATTATGGGATCGGGAACAATGTTCATATGCCTTTAATCATTCATCTTAATCTGTCTTATCATTCCATTGTGATCAAAATTGTACCATGCAGTTAAAAATCAAACAATCTGCATCTGCATCTGTAAAATATTGTGCAAACTCCTTGATAAGCTATCCCCATGCTCAATTAATCAGCTTCTAATACTATTTCTCCAATCAATTGCCCTATACAGTCGCTTTTATAGCTCTGAGCCCCCATTGGCCAAGTACGGCTTTTCTTTATCAAACGATGGTGCATAAACTCAATTGACCAATCAGAGACAGGGTTCACCAATATGCAAAGTAGTTCGTGTACACGTGTGGCTTTACGATAGAGGACAGACACACAGAGGGAGAACAAGATCCTTTCAGTCCTCGCGCGTTGGGTCTTTTGTTGAAAACGGTCCTCAACGGTACGGTTATGTGCTTAGTCTATGGTAGAGTGTTGTATTACAGGGACAAAGGAAAACACAAAGCATTGTCCTCGGGCGTATAGAAATTCACGACTGTATGTTCTGTCACAACTCGATACATGCAGTTATGCCACTCGAAACCTTTTTGTTTCCGACATTTAAATTACTGTTCAACATTTTTTATGGTAATATCGTGTGTTAATTTCATGAACGATTGCTGCATAGTAATTTTGCTTGGTAAGTTTTATCTTGATCTCTTGTGACATAATTGTTTATGGGAGAGTAAAAAAATCCACGTTTGCCTCAAACCTTCTGAAATTATACATCTACATATCTATATGACAAAGATCCCCCAGTCCCAATTAATAAATTTCCAATGAGCATTAGAGCTGGGGTTTCCCAAGCTATTATTGGATTTACTCCTGGATTCTGTAGCCGAGGACCTCAAAGCGCATACAGCAGGCTAGTTCGTACTGAGTAGGCAGGATACGCAGGAACCTGGCTTTGAAGGCCTTTGGGAAAGTGGTGGTCACTTGTGTGTTTTTGTCCGAGTTACCAGGGAACTGTGAGGGATAAAGAAAAAGGAAATGATTTCCAAATCAGCGTTGAAAGGTTCATGGGGACGAGTTCATATGTAGAGGCAGCAGGATCAACAGAGGGAGCCCTTGCCCTACGGCATGCATATTCATAGGTGTCTAGGGCTTTAAATAATTATAGAGTAAATAATTTTCATTCGTGCATTTTGTTTTCGTTTGAAGCAACAGAAGTGCTCGAAACCTAAAAAAAAGGTGCTCAACAACTAACCTGATGAAGTTTGAGCTCAGTGAATGCTATATATTCCGAGAAAACAATATTCTAGGATCTCGATTTCAATCCAATTCAAAAGTTGCCGTGTCATGTTTTGAATTGCGCCCGAAATCCGCGTTCGGGACAAATTCTCATTCAGCCGATTGCAGGTACGCGATGTCACGCAAAAGTACGCGATGTCACGCACTGAACCGACGATTATTAGCAACCGCGTGCACATGTGTGTCGTGTCAACGCTTGCGCGCACCCATTCACGGCATCGCCGTATTAGAAACGAACTAGTAACGGAATTGTCCAAAATTGCGTCTTTGAACGCATCTTTGGAAATTTTGTTCACAACAACAGCTGCCAGAAAGAATAATTTCACAGGGTGTTTAGTGCCATTACTATCTTTAAACCAAGTTCAATGCTTTTCAACAATAATTTCGTCGTATTTTTTCTACCTTTAAGGGATTCAACGTATTTATAAAAACAATAACGCACGACAGCCGATTTGTTGACCAGAAAATGGTATGAAGGAAACATAAATCGATCTGACAACAAATCCCAAGTTGGCCTCTTTGCCTCCTTAGTGTACGCCTCCTTACTTTTTTCATTTAGTTTTAAACAATAAGATAGACGAGAGATAGATGATTATACTTGGGTAGGACCCACGACCTTGTACGCGTGCTACTAGTGCGAATGTCTTAGCACTCGACCACCAAATTTGCCAGGGAACGCTAGCTTATTCAACTTTGATCTAGCTTAATTTCCATACAACATCTTCACCCGTAAACAGGAGGTCGTGGGTTCGAGTCCCAACTGACTGAGTATTAAGCTTGTGAATCTTACCTAACAAACCCTCGGACAGCATTATTCTGTGTTTATGAAATTACATCGTTGAAAATGGCAAATGGAAAGATGTGATTGGACTACCTTCGTCGGGGTACATGATCCATCATTAGTGACGTCGGTCCATTCTTGGCCATCGTCGCTGTAGGCGACTTTGAACTCTGTCACCCATTGGTCATAGCTCCTATCCCCACGCCCCTGGGTGATAACGCCAGTGATGATGACACTGCAACTGAAGTCGACTTGGATCCATGGATCGGTTTCGTTGGGTACAGCAATACACCAGGCTGCGGCTGAGGCCGCGTCCGTGACTGCAGAGTAAGCAGATAGTTAAACATGCTGAGCATAAAACACTGATTCAGCAAATTGATGTATACAGGGTGAGTACAAACCCCGAAACCCAAATGTCGGGACCATTGTTTTAGTGAAGTTCTGCATGGAGCACTTTCAAAATCTAGAATATGGAAGCTCAATTCATGAGCTTTCTTTTAGTACAAGAATCATTCAAATCACTCATGTACTTTTCAAGTTAAGGACTTTTAAACACAACCACCGTTTTAAGGTCCTGTCCACGGATCACAAAAAGGTGAGTGTTCTTTCAGCAGAACGAAGAGATATGTGTGAATTGTTTTAGGTTTGCTGAACGAAAGCACACCTTTTGTGCGATCTCAAAAATGGATGTATTCCCACTCAGAAGCAATACGCCTCGGACAAGTTTTTTTGGCTGATAACCCCCCCCCCCCCCTTCTCTTTATTTGCTCACGAATATGTTTTGTCCTAAACACCTCTATGAAATTCTGCTCAGATGGTTCTGTGTTTGAATGAAGAACTTGGCTACATTTTGTAGAAGTTTTGAAATTTGAGATTCGCTGATAAAAATTGTCGGAGTAATTAAAACATTAAGCAGAATTCACTCGCAAAGCACTATCAGAAAATCTTAAGCACCTCAGAGGAGAAAAAACTTTTTGCATTTTTGCCACCATGACGAGTAGGATTTTGTATGAGTTGCCTTATTGTTCGTCCCATGACATGTAAATGTAATTTTTGTTGAATGCAAGTCAACAAGTTACTTTCATGGTTAAGCCGAGCCCTGGTGGGTCCGTGATTGGCCTGGTTGTTCCACATTGACGACGCTGTGATGCTTGCATCTGGGATGCGTCCATCTTCCATCCCAAGGGGTCCCACCTCAGAGCACTCCAAGACATCTGTCGGAGTAGTGGGGAAAAAAGCGATCAGAGTGGGGCGGGGTTCATTAAAGCAATCACACCAGTCTTTCCCTACAAGAGCTGAGTTTACAGCCGTGTGCGGGTTCCGCCCTCTCCCAAGCTTTGAATACGTTATTGTAGTTAAGAAACTTGGTATGTTTATAGAATTTGCTTTGTCGTTGTACTTGTAGCTCAATCGGACAAGTTTGATCATAGTATGCGTCCTTCCGTAAAAAAGCGCAAATAAGTACATTTCTATACGGTCTATGGAAATTGTTTTTAGTAGCTCGCCTCGATAATTTTGACATTTCGCGCGAACGCTAGATTGAACTTGGCGTTAAGACGTCCGTAAAACATCAGTCTAAGATTAGAGTTTTTCACCAATTAACACAACAAAAGGGACTAAGTTAAAAACTGTTTTTAGCCTGGACAAATATGCAGAAATATCGCACCTACCTTTCTTGCAGGGTACATGGACAAGCAATTTGACCGCGTCGAGTTGCTCTCGAAAGACGTCCAGTTGACTATACAACGGACGGAGAGCTGCTTCGAGAACCGAGTCGGGGTCCCCGTGGGCGTGTGCGGCTGCAGCAAACAGGCAGCACTGGGCCACCACGGCAAAATAAGCTACCAAAAGGTACTTCATCTTGATATCAGAGACACTCATTGATCTCGAATCAATTCCAGAATCGCACTTATATAGGTTTACAACTGAACTAGAATCCTTGAACCGAGAGTGCTGAAAAAGGCGTTGACCGTGCGCAGCACACCAAACCACAAGACCGTCACGTACTAATGTGAGTTTATCAGTTTCCTCCAGTGTCCAAGGTCCACTGTGATTGTTTTGTCCCAAAAGTTAAAGTTACATGCTGCATGTGATGATAATTGTTGCACACCTTTGCTATACAATGGGAGACTTTTGAGACGTTGGTGGCAGCAAACACACCGGTCCTTTTCCCATTGTTTGCGTCATATTGAGCAATTAAAAAGGACTGGTGTGTTTGCTGCCACCAACGTCTCAATAGTCTCCCATTATTTGAATCAGTTTAGGTGGGCCTATGGGCTCCGATCCGTGCGCCAACAAAAGAGGGCGCGTTTTTAATACTTTTGAGCATGGGCTCCGTCACAGACATATAAACGAATGGATTATGTCTGTGGGCTCCGTGCACAAGTACTCCTCCAACAGCAAGAAAAGGGATCTGGAAGAGACGACGCCTGACGCTCAAAGCAACGCTGTGGCTAAATAGCTTAGTCTGGTTCCCTAGACCTGACAATTATTCGCGACGCCCACGTCTAAATTGTAGGTCTGGCCAGCCTCGTCTCCAGGTGTCGGGCAGTACGCGCCCACCACTACCTGCTGTCTCACCCTGGTATTGGATCATTTGCATGTGCAAGATTTTTGAACACGTATGTAATGAGGAGTAGTCTGGTGCCTGCCTGTGCGTTACATTTGCGTCTGTTTTTGTATGCGGTGTCTAGGGTAAAAACAGAATAAGTTCGTCGTAGCGGGAGCATGGCGTGAGTTACGTAACACGATTTATTTTAATTTATCTGTTACAATCTTAACAAGACACCATGCAGTATCACATTTCATATTAATATTAACAAATTGGAAAGGAAATTAATATTTTCGATGGTCTACACAATAGGCCGGATTTAGCCTATTCATTGGCGTTATGAAGCAATCCTATACGATAGCACTACCCGGTTTACATTCAGGTGACTCAGTGCAATAGGTGCAATAAAAAAAAAAAGAACAGTAAGGCCAAAAAAAAAGTCTCCGGTTTCTGGTATGGAGCTTGTCCAAAAAGTGGTGCGGCGACGCGGCTTTTTTTTTTTTTTTACCTGACTTTTTTTTTTTTTACCTGACTTTTTTGCTTCAAATGTCGGCTGGTGACTGCAAATGGTGCCCAACTAAACTTAGTGCAAATATATGGGAGTCCAGAGAGGCCACATAAAGCTTATTCTCGATCATAACCCCATCTAAAAACACGTTGAAATTGCGCAGCAGCAGAATTCCAGTCAGACCAGTGAGTTTGGCGGTTTTGAGGCATCATCTTTCATTGAAAAAAAAACTTTTTCATTTTGCCGACGCGCATTGCTACGGCGACGCGCGCGCATACCAGAAACCGGAGACTTTTTTTTGGCCTAAGCTCCTTGAAGTCGAAAATTACAATACAATCCATCTTGATATGAGTGGTTCATCATTTTCATATCTAGCGTTTAACCGCGCGAATTTCGAACGGTGCTGGAACGTAGGTGAAGCCTTCGATACCCTTTATGGATGATCGAGGCGCCCCCATCGGCAGTTGGAAAGTGAACCGCTGGAAGAGGTTGGTGACGAACAGGAACATCTCCATCCTGGCCAGCCCCTCGCCAAGACAACTCCGTTGACCTTTGACACGAGAAGGCAAAAAGATGGACAATCAGAAAAACGACGGTGTTAAATATCTCGCGTCGACAAAAGTAATATCAAGACAACATGCAGTATCATATGTTTTACAATCTTAATTTTGTAAAACTCAACTAAGGTTACAAAACTTCTTAATGAAACGAAAGCATAGCGTTTAAAAATTGGGTTCTCTCGTTATGCAAAAGTGTCCCTCAAATAAAAACTTCGGTTTCCCCTTTGCGTGTTAATAAGATGTGAACCTTCTCGAGATGAAAAAACTCGGGCCAGGCGGAAGGCTTTTCTGTTGGCCTCAGCGCAACCTCAGGACCACCAGGAAAATCAGCAAGAAGACGCCGGCAGACTTGAGATCGAGAGCGCCGGTGATCGAGCGAAGAAGAACCAGCTTGAGCAGATTCACCTCACGACACTATTTAGATAAACCACGACGACTGAACAAACAGTTCCACAACTTGTATACGCCATATTCAAATTCATGTATTTACCCCACCCTCACATTGCAAAGTCTACTTCACTTCGTCACAGGATGAACGCATGTATAAAGCATGAAGTTTAGCACTTGAGTCTCGACCATTGAAAATATTCGGCGATGTCATTCATTCCTTTCGCCGTTGCCATGGATCGACCAATAAGGATCGAAGGTTCAAGTTTTCTCAAAGATAAAGTACTTTGGTTGCTATGCGTTCTCCTTCCAATTATATCGCACAAGTCATGATGGGAACCGATATGGCGCAGCAACTTTTCGTGCCCATGGAAACGGGGTTGGATCGGATGATCATAATGACAATATAGAGGAGACGACTAACAAGGCTTCACTAAGTTTTACAAATATTGCCGATACCTTTCAACTACTTCCCAATATAATGTGTTCCGTTAAACAGTCAGGCATGGACTTTGGAACCACAAGCGCGCATGCGCGTGTAACCTATATGCCCTTTGCACTCTTCCGCCATATTGAGCATGCAGAACCTCGATCTCAACCTCGTCCCCAGTGCTTACTTTATTTCCAACCGCGTTTCCAGTAGTAAACCCTGGATAAGAAACTTTCTTCCTGTATCCTGATTGGATACCGCAATTGGCTAGTTATGGATTTTTATCGTGTACTTGGTGCTATATATTCACAACGTGCAGTACGTGTTTTCGCGATCATTCGTCCACGCCTTCTCGAAAATACTAATTTCCTTTCCAATTTGCTCATATTAATATGAAATATGATACTGCATGTTGTCTTGATAAGATCGTAATAGTTTGATTTCAAAAATCGTATTTTCGTAACTCACGCCGTGCTCGCGCTGCTACGAATTGACTCTGTTTTTACCCCAGACACCGCATACAAAAACAAACGCTAATGTGTAACGCATATCCAGGCACCAGACTGTTGCTCATTTGCATACGTGTGCAAAAATCTTGCACATGCAAATGATCCAATACCAGGGTGAGAGAGCAGGTAGTGATGGGCGCGTACTGTTCGACACCCTAGGGACGAGGTTGCCGCTTCAGTAATTCCCGTGTCGGGGCTCAGAGATTCTCACATATACACAACAGGGATCACTGAACCGGCTATAATTGTTGTGTAAAGTTGCTAGATCGAGGCTCTGCATGCCTATGGCGGAGCGTGCAAAGGGCGAATTGGGCTCTTGTCCGCCAAGTCGAGCAAAATGCACGAAAAGGGGACACACGTTAGACACGTACCTGTAGAAGGGATTTAACTCTGTAGGAAGATCTCGCCAAGTGGAGGTGCGCGTAAACGGCGTTGCGTTCGCCACGTTCTCGCGCATTATTTGTATCTTTCCTCCAGCACGTGACTCTCCATGCAAGTCCACGCGTGTGGACGCGCTGCTGCCGATCTATTATTTTATTCTATATCTATGTATGGGCCCAACCACTGATCTCTATATTAGCTATCCAGTCTTTATATAGAGATCAGTGGGCCCAACACGCCAACAATGCGCGCACCCGCCTGACCCCTCCGGCGCTGCATTGGAAATTGTATAATTTCTTTGTTCTTGTGTACTAAGGTTTTAGAGTTTGAAATTGTAGTTTCAAAATAATCGGGTTTTCTTACCATAATTAATTTCCTGGGCTAAAATGCGGACTTAATATCCCTTACATTAAATAGGCCCTACTCCAATTTGCCACAGATTATGATCGACACACCTCGGAAATTCCTAGTTTTGAGTAAAATCCATAAGTGTAACTATTTCGTGATAACCTTTATTCACAAATAAAAAATGGTCTGAGGAGACGTGAACAATCTTTCGTTCCCATTATGCACACGTCTCCACAGGGTACCGTGTATCAGATAAGAGTATATGCCAGCTGGGGCCAATTTCATAGAGCTGCTTAAGCACAAAATTTGCTTAAGCACAAAAACGTCTTGCTTAATAAAATCAGGTTACCAGCCAAAACTCCATGCGATTGTTATGCTAAGTAAACAACAGCTAAATACCAGTCACAAGCAATGTACATCACATGGAGTTTTGGCCGGTAACCTAATTTTACTAAGCAATGTTTTTTCGTGCTTAAGCAAATTTTCTGCTTAAGCAGCTCTATGAAATTGGGCCCAGGTCTTGATTTGTAATTGGCTGCATGCAATGCTCTGCAAAGTGGCGAAAGGTACATGTATATCAACGACTTTACCGTACGCCATGGCCGTGAACTCTAAACTAGTTTCTTCAAACAATAGGGTTTTTTTGTTTGTGTGTTCCGACCTACCTGTACGTGCAGACACGTGAAGTAGACTTTGCAACGTGAGTGTGTAGTTGAATAATGGTGTACAAAAGGTCAATGTTGTGGAACTGTATGTTCATTTATCGTGGTTTGCTTAACAGAATCGTGAGGTGAATTGGATAGCGATGGCTGGTCAGAATTCAGCTGCTTTTTCTTCGCTCACCGGCGCTCTCGATCTCAAGTCTGCCGGCGTCTTCTTGCTGATTTTCCTGGTGGTCTTGTGGTTGTTCCGAGGCCGACAGAAGAACCTTCCGCCGGGGCCGTGGCGATGGCCCCTGCTGGGGAACCTTCCCGCGATGGTCCGGTCCAAGAAGCATGCCCACGAAGTGGTAGCGGAGTGGAGCCGGCAGTACGGCGGTGTCATGTCGGTCGGGACGTTTCTCGGTAGGTCTCCTGTCGTTGTCATCAGCGAAATCGATGCAGCCAAGGAGGTATTTCTGAAACCAGGGGTTCGACTCATGGACAGATCAACTTTGCCACTGGCAAAATACATCGCACCTCTTGAAGGTAGGATATAGTCACATAAATTGAATCTAGTCGATCAGAAACTGGAAACTTGACTTCCTTTCTTTTCTTTTTGGTTGGTGAAGCAATTTTTTTTATCCTGGCTGAAGGCTTCGTGATATTGCGTCGTGTTCGTTCTTTTAACATGGAACCCATGACGGGGAACTTGGTGCTTGTGTTCTTGGGCAAGACACTTTACTACGATTGCCTCTCTTCACCCAGGGGTAAACATTTTGGGGGTACATTAATATGAAGGTAGAGACTAAATGGCGCTGATTTCGAGCTGCTACAAAAGAAAATGGTCTCATCGCCTGATGAACAGGGGTAATAAAAATTTAATGAAACGCGTAAGACCTTTGGTATGTAAAGTGCTACGTCACAACACGACATTCTTATCTGACAAACAGTTCATCACGTTTGTTATTACCAAAGTTTTTTTTTTTTTTTTTTTTTACAGGAAGTTTGATGTGGGCCAAAGGCGAGACCGCCAGGGCACAAAGGAAGTTCGGCCTCGGCGCCTTTCGAAAATTCGGAGTCGGCAAGAAGAGCCTGGAGCACAAGATCAACGAGGAGGCTCGATACCTGGTGGAGGGAATCGAAAATGAAAAGAATCGATCGTTCGATCCCAACCTTAACATCCACAAAGCAGTGTCGAACATCATCTGCACCGTCTGCTTTGGGTACCGTTTCGATTACGACGACCCGAAATTCAAAAAGTTGCTGCGCAGTGTGCAGGTGACATTCGCAAGTACGGGCGTCGATGCGCTGGCAAATATATTCCCGGTGCTCATTCAAACTCCTCTCTACTCCAAAATGCAGGCAGGTCGGCGCTTTATACAAGACCACATCAACGAAGTTATTCAGGTAAACGCTTTCTCTGAAATTCCTATTGCTGATTTCTGGTAATCTTGGTTCTTAGTTGGTTCTTCTCCTGAATACTCCGCGTGGGAGTTTAAACAGGAGGCCAGGAACACCGGGGCAAACCCATTCTATAAAGTGTCACTGGGTTATTTACGCACATTGCATTACACAACATACGGGACCTACGGCAATTCACGATGCATCCGAAGGACGGAGCATGTTAAGTGCCTTGCTTAAGGGCACAATCCACCCCGCGGGCTCGAACCCACGCCACTGTTGCCTCTGAAACACCAGAGCATTAGTCCTGTGCTCTTAACCGCTAGGCCATCACACTTTAAGAAACCAAGGATTCCCTCAAAAGCTATATATAGCCACTAATTAGCTCGCAAGACTGCAGAAACATGTAAGGGAGGAGACAGTGAGAAGAGGTTACAGTTTTAGAGGTGGGAGGAAAATCCCACCAAAATATTCCGGGGAAATCCCATGGAATCAGGTGGGACTGAAAACCCAATCCATAATTATATTGACCCAGGCAGGATTCGAACCCGGGTCACATCGGTGGAGGGCGAGGGGAGTACCACTATACGCCAACATGACTCCCATAAATGAAACCTGTTGACAAATTAGCCCCTGCTAATCGTCTCAGAAAAATCGGGACTGCTCATACAAGAGTTTCCTTTATCTCATCATAAATCTCTAGGAACACCAGGAGTCTTATGATCCTAACGATTTCCGGGACATCATCGATATGTACATCGGAGAGATCAAGGAGCGAGAGCGGAGCGGTGCCTCAGAGGGTACGGGTGACAGCGAAGCTTTCGCCCATCATCACATCTGGCGCTTCGTCTTTGACATGTTCGGCGCGGGGACGGACACAGCATCGCACACGATCCTGTGGCTGATTTCCTGCTTACTGAACTACCCCGAAATACAAGAAAAGGTAACAACACAGACAGAATATTCACACGATGCATACTCATGTACAAACTCTGGAATTTGCTCGTTTCGTCCACTCACAAACATTACGTCCATACTACAGCGGTGTAGTACTCGTCATCGGTACTCGTTCTCGAGTAATACTCGAGTACTTTATATTTTGGAGTACTCGTACTCGAATGTCCAAGTACTCGTAGTCGAAATGACGGCACTCGTATACTCGATCATCAAAGTACTCGTACTCGAATAGCAGTACTCGGGGGAAATGGTATAGCTGGACTTACCTATTTTTATCGATAAAGTTTCAGTGTGAAATGGTTGATTGGTTTATGGAGAAATCGAAGTTTCCTAATTTTCCTCTGTGCACGTCCGGAGAAACACATTCAGCAGCTAGCCGTGAGTGGTTTGTCAGGGCCTGGGCCAAATACGCACAATGAACCGTAAGGCCGTATTCGGAAGTACAAGTACTCGTACTCGGAGACCTGTACTTGTACTCGGAAGTACATGTACTCGTGCTCGTAATCGGAAGTACAAGTACTCGTACTCGAAGACCTGTACTTGTACTTGGAGTACAAGTACTCGTACTACATCAAGCTGTTCCGTATTTTTGTGTAAATTTCCAAGGGTGGTCGGCCGACCACCGTTGAAAAAACCTAACAATTTGTTTAACTATACTGCTCCAAATGTACCATTTTTTTCAGTGCAAATTTTGTTTGCTATTGGTTACATGTTCATGAACGGGTGCAGGCCAGCTAGACTCTTACACTTACTTTACAATTTTCCAGCATCTATAAATTGATCAATTTCATCTTTAGTGGAGTCAGGGAGCCAGACTATTTGAACATATTTGCTTTTCTTGGTTTTTCCAGCATTTTCAAACACAAAACTTCAAACTTGTCAGTGTAACAACATTTGACCTATTATACTAAGCCCTCGAATAGTCCATTTCTGAAAATTACAGCAAAAGTTAATAATGTACATTCCCTTTAATGAGAGGGTATTATTGGGTAAACTCGTGCATGTCTATGTATTTTAGAAACAACCCGTTCGCCAATGTCACCGACTACACAACTTCCTACCATATTTATAGACTCACACAATACCCATTGCGTGCATTTCAGATGCAGAGAGAGATCAGTGAGGTGGTTGGAGGTGACCGGCAACCATCTTGTGAGGACCGTCCCAGCATGCCCTACACCAACGCGGTCCTGAACGAGATACAGCGCTGGCGACCGGTTGCGCCCTTCACTCTACCCTACGAGACGACTCAAGAAATACAGCTGAAAGGCTACACCATCCCAAAAGGAAGAAGTAAGTCGTAAGAAAAAAACAAAACGTCTCTCATATACTGTTTCCGCGTTAAATTTAAGTGCCATTTCTAAGGGCGCTGGTAGGCCTACGACTAATTTCGTCTATGAGAATTGTTTTAGTTTTACTGAAATAACACTAACTGTTTTGTGATCTGGACACAACTTTAAAATGATGGTTTCCTTCATTATTCCGTAACTTGAAACGTACCTGAGTGATTTGAATGATTCTTGTAAAAAGGAAACTTAATGTCTGGCTTTCATATCCTAGATTGTGAAAGTGCTACGGGCAACACTTCATTCAAAATTGGTCCTACCATTAGGGTTTCAGTTTGTTTTAACTCACCTTGTATGAATATGGCTTTCTCTACCTCATATCAAACAACAGCGGTGATTATTCATCTGTGGGCAATGATGAACGACCCCAGGGTTTGGGATTGTCCGGAGGAGTTCAACCCTGACCGCTTTCTGAGCGAAGACGGCACGAAACTCATCCAACACGAAAGGTTCAATCCCTTCTCAGTCGGTAAGTTGGCGAACCACACAATGTCGGAGACCCCAGATTTCAAAAATTATTCACAAAGTTTCTTCGGACCAATCAAGATTTTAGGCCATTAGGGAAAGGAATTAACAGAAAGAAACAAAGCCAGAGTACACTATGGGCTCCGTGCGTCAGGCAAGATGGCGTCGGTCGGTCACCCCCAACTGTAATTTCTTGGGCGGTGAGGTGAACGGAGCGGATAACCTATGATCAGGGCGGGCAAACGCAACTGTGCAACTTTGATTCATAATTTACGATTACGAATTATACATTTACAACACATCACACGTCCCCCTTATTTGTTTACTCCACAATATCATGTAGACGTTAATTCGCTAAATATGCACGCATGCGCCTGAAGTTTACGGAAGCACTTCTGAGGCCATAATAGGCAAGTTCGCGCAAGAACTATTGTTGACCATTTGTTAACCATAGTTCAACTATTGTTAGCCCGAACTCTGTCTAGTCGACAGGGTTGACTACGCTAGTCGACTATTTGGAACCAGTCTACTGGGCCTGGTTGCACCGCTGGTTACCAATACCCGCGCGCATTCATAACGTACAGCAGGGAGCCAGGATCCAGAAGTTTTGGATGACATTTTGACCAGCATTTGGTTAGAGACGTTTGCACGTTGCTATTAGTGCGCAGACGTAAGGTACGTCACAAATCAATCACTAATGGTCCTTGCCCGAACTTGGCCATAACTGAACGATTGCGACGCCATTTTGGGCAATTCAAATAGACTTGAATTTAAGGTTAATGGCCGCAAGTTATTATACTTCGTTTTTTCAAAATTTTCATTCTTCTCATCATGCTTCAATCGATTCCGATGTTTATTACCTAGTTTAAGTTGGCAGGGCGCCCTTATTCGCTAGATAATTAAAGGTAAATCAAGGACGACATAATTATGTTGGTCATCTTTTTTTTCTTCTCTGCAGCCTGAACACCTGAGAGAGATCTGAGTAATTGTAAAAAAAAAATTGAAGTATGGGGATTTATCACTGGTGTCTATAGGAATTGATTTGCTTGGTTGCCCCCATTTAGGTCTGGAACCGCCAGCCGAATATTGTCATAGTGGATTTTTTTCGAGATGACTTCTTCTTAAGCTTTCTGATTGTCGATCTTTTTTTTGCCTTCTCGTGTCAAAGGTCGACGGAGCTGTCTGGGCGAGGGGCTGGCCAGGATGGAGCTGTTCCTGTTCGTCACCAACCTGTTCCAGAGGTTCACTTTCAAGCTGCCGTTGGGGGCGCCCAAACCTTCCATGAGGGGTGTCCCCAGCTTCCTTTACTCACCAGATCGGTTCGAAGTGTGCGCGGTTAAACGCTAGCAGCCTCGACTCCATGGGCGCATGCGCGTTCCTTGCAGTAACTAAGATCGCGCAAGGCATGATGGGAAACAACATGGCACAGCAAGATCGTACCCATGGGGAACGAGGTTGAAACGCTAGATACTAAAAATTGGATACTGGGCATAGATTGAATTGTAATGTTCGACTTCACAGAGTTAAATTTGGTATTTAGGGTTTTTTGCTGGAGCCTGGTCCCAATAACTTGCCATTCTGCATTGCACCTATCGCACAGATTGAGTCACTTGCCTGTGATCTGGGCAGTGTTATCGTATAGGATTACTTCACAGTTGCGTAAAGCAGAGGCAGACTTTCAGTGGAATGTTTTTGCACTTTTCTCTGACCAGCTTTCTAAAGCTTTCCCTTGTCATTACAAGACCTGAGACCTGGCAGCGAAGTCGGGACGCCAGACGGAAGTAGGGACCGTCTGCCACATAGGAAAGCGCACATGTAAACAAAGCGTGACGTCATTAGGTCTCAGGCAGAAGCCAACACATTTTTTCACAAGGATTGGTTATAATACAAACGAGTGGGTTGTACACATTATTGTTGATAAGGGTAAAGATTTATTTGCGAAAAGTTTTAGTAGGTTTAGTTTTTATAGCCAGAATATAATTTTACAGTTCGCTTTTAAAATTGACTGAGATGTTTTATTTAACTTATAAGTTATAGCTATTGAGTGCAAACTCACGTATTTGGTGAAGTAGGTAGGCTTATAAGCTTTGAGCTTTTTAAATGCTGAGCATTACATTATTTTATCAAGTCTTAAATTGTTTGCTTTTACGGTTTTCTTAAATTCTGCATTTGGGGAGTATGTTTTAGCTGCAGAAGCTAAACATCGGAATTAGAGTAAAAACGCGACGGTGTTTGTTCTTGTAACTGCGTAATTTGGTTAATATACGAATACATTGAGCAAACTTATTTACTTGAAGTTACATTGCATGCATTTAAGAAGTGACAATTATTGTAGGTCATTTAGTAAAATGATTCAAAATTTGTGATCTTCAATAATTTTAAACGACGAACTTTGGAACTTGACGCAACTGGTATTGACGAAACAATTGAGGGCGCTGTATCAATATGGCGCCATTTCAGGGTATAGACCTTTCTCAACCTCGTCCCCAGTGCTTACTTTATTTCCAACTGCGTTTCCAATAGTAAACCCTGGATATGAAACTTTCTTCCTGTATCCTGATTGGATACCGCAATTGGCTAGTAATGGATTTTTATCGTGTACTTGGTGTTATATATTCACAACGTGCAGTACGTGTTTTTGCGATCATTCGTCCACGCCTTCTCGAAAATACTAATTTCCTTTCCCAAGTTGCTCATATTAATATGAAATATGATACTGCATGTTATCTCGATAAGATCGTAACAGTTTGATTTCAAAAATCGTGTTTTCGTAACTCACGCCGTGCTCGCGCTGCTACGAGTTGACTCTGTTTTTACCCCAGACACCGCATACAAAAACAAACGCTAATGTGTAACGCATATCCAGGCACCAGACTGTTCCTCATTTGCATACGTGTGCATAAAATCTTGCACATGCAAATGATCCAATACCAGGGTGAGAGAGCAGGTAGTGGTGGGCGCGTACTGCTCGACACCCTGGGGACGAGGTTGAGACCTTTCTGCGCTTGGTTGGCAAACTGCATTGTTGCCAACCAGGGCCTGCAAAACTATGGAAGGTCAACTTAACTCAATTTTACAAAGCTTCTTCATTAAACGAAATTTGTCTGGTGTTTGTACCCGAAAGTGGTGAATGTAGTTAGTTCAAGAACACCTATACGGGAAACTTCATTTTAACATTTCATTGCGTAAACATTCAATAGTGTTTAGCAATACATCTAGCTGTTCCGTAATTTTTAAATAAATTATCATCGGCTGTCCAATTTTGGTACACCAATCTATCTGCTGATTACATGTTTTTCTTGCAGTCCAGATCCTGCAATTCACAATTCAGTGCGCCGGCCAGAGTTTGCCATGGGAAGTCCATTTTTCAAGTTTACGGTCGACAAAACTTGACCCATAACTTAGCTAATTTGTTAGAGATTGTGGCATAGCGTTCTGCCGCCTGACAAAAAAAAACACCATATTAGAAAAGGGCAAATAGTATACATGAATCATACGATTACGAAACTACTGACCGGAAACTGAATTCACAGCCGGTCCCCGCGCAGCGCGAATTTACCATCGCCACAATTAACGGGGACTTTTCGTGGCAAATTCTTGGTGGCGCACTGCCCCCGGTGCGGGATTTCGAGCATTTCGAGCGATGATTGGCTGCAGCTTTTATTATATGTCTATGATTGGCTGCCGAACGCAAACTTTGCGGGCCGCGCCAAATTATTGTCGAATGGCAAACATGCTGATATGCCACGTGCTCGTTAACACAATCAGTAATGTGGGTCTTAATAATGTCCCTACCGGCGAATATAGTCTGAATATCACCCGTTATCCAATCAAGCCAGTCTCCGTTTAAATATGTCAAAGCATGCACATTTCGGAGTCGACTTTATTCGTGACGTCATTTCATCCCCCTCCCCCCCCCCCAAAAAAAAATCGCGTTGCATAGAACAACTTATCATCAACATACTGCCAAGAAATGTCATGACTAAAGGTCAAAGGGCTTTGGAATTATGGCTAATTAAACATTCATATGCACGAATTGTAATTTTGCTCTGTGTACACTGCGTATGGGAAAATTCAGTTAATTCACCGCGCGTACGCGTAGCGCCGGAAAAAAAATCGCTGCGTGGCCGTGGCAACCCTTGGTCCGATTTTTATGTTTTTGGTATCAAAAGATGCGCAAAGCTCGAGGCTAAAAAGTCATAATAATAATAATAATAATCGGCATTTAAGAACGCCCTTTTTAGTAAATTAAATCACGGCGCTTACAGTATTATTATTACCCCTGATCATTGGGCCAATTAAACATTCCAAATACAATCTCAGCTCCCTGGGGAGTATACAGCTCGATGCTGCCTGTTAGGCGCAAGCAAGCTAAATCAATCACATAACCATCTCTGCCTTCACAGGTACCCATTTACTCCTGGGTGGAGAGAAGCAATGAGTGACAAAGTGCCTTGCCCAAGGGCACACGCACCATAACCCCGGGCTGGACTCGAACCCACAACCTGCAGAATTACCCGCAGACCACGAATTCAATGCCCTTAACCACGAGGCCAGGGCGCTCCATAACAGCTCGCGTCGCGGAGAAAAAAATTCAGAACTGTCGAGGAAACGTCGGATTCCACCCCAGGCCCCTTTACGGTTAGGAGGTAAAATCTGGAGATATTAAGAGAGATCCTTAACCCTGTTACGAACTCTCGAATATAACAGCTCAATCCGGGTTTTACCTTTAAAGAGGTTTCACGGCATATACCAATCAGGACGGTATGCCCTCAATGCTTCTTGCTTTTATAGAATATTTTGTGGGCCGCGCCACGAATGAAAGTTTTTAAAATGAAGGATGGAAGCCGTGATCAGGACTGCGACATTGTGTTTCTGTAAAATTTGGATGGAATATGCCCCTCCATGGTTTGCTCTGTTTTGCAATGGAAATTAGACATCAGTGCGATGGGGTTCATGACTTAATTCTTTTTTGAATAGGGGTGATTATCTTTGGATGAAATTTCTGCCAAAAGTCATCGGACTACCTCAAAGCAAGTGAACAGAAAATGAAAGATGATAAAATGAGCTTTAATTTAATGCGCGCCTCAGACACCTTGGAGAGTTGTGAGAACATTGTATTTTTCCTGACCCGTACAAATTTTATCATTTAGATAATGGCCAAAGGTAACCGCTAGAGGGCGCTACTTCCGTTACATTCATTTGGTGCAGCAAAACAAAATATTCACTAAATATTTCCAATCTTGCGAATGAAAAGCAACAATTTACAAAATTTTCATTTATGATGGAAGGATATCAATACTTTATGATAAAAAATAGGCTTTTTGTCCAAATAGAAACTTTATTAGTAATTTGAACTGTGGCCAAGGGTAGCCAAAGCATTTTTTTTACGGGAACAGTTTGCTGTAAACACCGCTTAATTGCACTGTAATTTCACGTGTACAAGACTATAGACTATCCAGGTAGGTTTTTTTTTTTTTAGGTTTTACTTTTACGTCGAGAACTGGTGCTTGATGAGAAATTCCATGCAACACTTGACATAAACAAAACGTACAGTTTAGCTTAAACAAGCAGTTTAAATCTAACGTTACTGTGTTCACACAGTGCAGGCATATTCAAAGCTGCTTCAGGACAGGTGCTGTGCTGGCGGTAACCCGTCATGCCCGTTGCATGTCGTTGACGTTGCAAGGGCGGACCCATAGCACATTTGAAAGGGGGGGGGGCTACAATAAATTTTGGTGCCCCAAAAAGTGGGTTTAAAAAACTACAGCGCGTGGTTCGGGGCCCAGTCAATGAGAGTCAAGCCTTAAAGTTAAACAGGTTGTGTATAAAAATTTATTGGGTAATCCTTACTTTTAGGACCCCTTTCCTATATAACTTATAAGGTTAAAAGACTCACCAAAACAGCTGACTATGACACTCAAAAGTGACATTCTGATATTTATTGACACATTTGAACATTTGGCAATGACACCTCTTGAATATCAGCAGGTTTAATTTTGTAGAAAGAGGGCAGGGTTTTGATTTATGAGGGGTTAAAGACGACGATGACAAACAGAAAATAAATTTAAAAAGCAAGATGGCGAACTGCAAAAAAAGGTAGGAAAGTCACATTTTCTTTGAAAGTGCTTTCAAAATTATAACTAACATGAGTTTGTCTGAAGAAAAAAGACTTCTTTAGCCTGCAAAAGTCACTTTGGTACTGGACAGTCATCTGCAAAAGTCAGTTTTGAACAGAACTCGTACAAACATGACAAAATAGAGGTGTCCTAAAAGTAAGGATTACCATTTATTGTTTGTACTATAGTATTAAGTTCAATCTTTGATTTGAAAAACATTGAATTTTCTCTTTTGTAGTTTCCAATTTTGCAGTCCGTATTGAAGCCCACAGTTTTGGACACCATGGCAAACATCATTCCATTCCTGGCTGGATTTGTCGCGATAGCTGCCATCATGATGAACTTTGCTCTGCATAAAATTGAAGAAGGTATGAAACACTAGACCAAAGAATACGTGCAAGGCCAAGTAAAACTATAAACCAGTTTGTTATCCAGCATTTTAGGATTTCGATTTCAAATCAAAAGTTGCTAAAGCATGCTATAAATTGGGCCTGAATTCAGGGTCGGAAACCGTTCTCACTGAGCTGATTGCAGCTATGCGATGTCACGCTCTGATCTGACGAATTACAGCAACTGTGCGGGTACACGTACATTGTGTCAACGCTTGTGCGCGCCTCACCGGGTAAAAAAAACAAGAAATACTAGCAAAAATTTAAAACGATGCATCTCGTTGGAAAGGCCTTCTTTCGTTGATTTCTTCAAACTGACAGCTTGCCAGAAATAATAGGCCTACTTTCACAGCAAGTTTAGTTCCCTTACTATCTTTCAACCAAGTATGTTTTACAACAATAATTACGTCAGTTACTTTTTGGATAGCTGCAAATGATGGACTGCTAAGTTGGAAATCATTCCCATTCTCTGCAATACTGTCTTAAGTTCTTAGTCAGTGTTGAAAAGTCATATATGATTTTTTTTTCTCTTAAAAACGTATCTAAAATGTCTCTTTTCACAATTTTAGAATATTACAATTTAATATGGGGTTCTTAAAAATGTATCTAAAATGTCTCTTTTCACAATTTCCCAATTAACAAGCAAATACCGTGTGAGAAATTTACAAGACTTTGGTGAGTTATCCTAAATTTCTGAAATTCTGATATATTTTATATCTTTTTTTTTCTTTTCAGGTCATATTGCAGTTTACTACAGGGTAAGAATGTCATTAACCGTAACTCCTTTTGGCCATGGACCATCCTCAATCCTTCAAAATCCTCCAATTGCCACCATGTAAAACTTGAATTCAGCCTCAATCCTCCAAAATCATCTGTTACTTTTCAATTAGTTCAGTGGAGGGGTGACCATTGCCTCAATCCTTCAAAATTCTCCAACAATCACTGTTAATGGGTTGAGGCAGTGCCAATGACATTCAGAAGCAGTGCGGATGATATCGAACATAATGCAGCTTTCATTGAGCTTTTTCTGCCGGGAATGACATCACATTTTTGCTCATGAATATGGAAATTGGCATTAGCATAAAAACAAAGACACCAAAATACCCTCAAATGGTAAAACGCAAATTGAAAATAAGCTTAACTGTGACACAATGGTTGCATTTTCAAGGATTGAAATTGACCAGTTTACATCGGAGAACGTGTATACACGCAAAAGTTTTGCGATATTCGGAACGGATGATGGATAAGCACGCAACGAGCGAAGCCGAAAATATCTGTCTGCGACCCACTCGCAGCGAGCGTGCCCGGAAATATCAGGGTGTGCCACCCGCAGATGACGACCTGAACCCGTCCGGCATCGAGGTTCATAAAAACAATCTCGCGCCTAGGTCCGGTCAATGTCAAAAATAATCCCGGCGGAAACTGGTTAAAAAACAAGTACATTGCATGGGCCCTTTCAGCTCAGCCAAACTTCCAGTAACCAGAAACTAATGTGCTTGTTTCATGGCGTTGTCTTCTTTCTTAGGGTGGTGCTTTACTGACCTCGACGTCCGGCCCAGGCTTTCATTTTATGTTCCCGTTCCTCACTTCATACAGAACAGTTCAGGTAAGTTCGTAAAAAAAAAAAAAAGGCCAGGCAAGCCTATTACATGTTAAAGCTGGTCTCAGAGTGCAAACAAAAATCCATTTAATTGAATCAGAATGGCTGTTCACTGGAATCTGTCCATGACTGTTACGGGGTAACCCTATATGATAGGACTGCCCGGGTCGCTACACCAGCCAACAATACAACGTCGTTTTCCCAGTGCTTTTCTTGTAATATGGTTTCTTGACCCTACTTCAGATGAAACAGAGCAGTTTTTTTTTTATGTTTGCAAATGCTGTATATTACCTTTATTAGTGTATTTTCCAACTGTCTAAATTTGCCAACATTGTAAATTCTCTCTTGCACGGATTACAGATTACGCTGCAGTCAGACGAAGTGAAGAACGTGCCTTGTGGAACAAGGTATTTACGTAACAATGTTGACTCATACAAAACCCTAAATTCAAACCCCTCAAATTCTAACAAATGGTTTTTCTAGTATTTTGATGGATTTGAGATCTACAGGGTGAGTCAAAAAACCGAAAACCCAAATGTCGGGACTATTGTTTTTAGTGTAGCACTTTGAAAATCTAGGATATAAAAGCCTGATTCATAAGCTTTCTCTGAGTACAAGAATCATTCAAATCACTCGTGTACTTTTCAAGTTACGGAATTTTAAACACCACCACCGTTTTAAAGTTCTGTCCACGGATCACAAAAAGGTGTGCGTTCTTTCAGCAAAATAAAAACAATTCACACACATCCATATGTGATTTTGTTTTTGTTTTGTTGAAAGAACACTTACCTTTTTGTGATCTGTGGACAGAACTTTAAAACGGTGGTTGCGTTTAAAAAAATGCAACTTGAAAAGTACACGAGCGATTCGAATGATTCTTGTACTAAAAGAAAGCCTGTGAATTCGGCTTTCGTATCCTAGATTTTGAAAGGGCTACATGCAGAACTTCACTAAAACAATGGTCCCGACATGTGGGTTTTGCTTTTTTTTTTACTCACCCTGTATTTCTATCCTCCAAATGCTTATGCTGTTTTTTTTCCCGTTCCCCAGCGGAGGTGTCATGATTTACTTCGACAGGATAGAAGTTGTCAATATCCTTTCAGCAAGTGACGGTGAGTTTCCCATCAAAATACAAATTTCTAGAAAGAGAAAACCTTCTTTTTTTTTTGCATTTGCAACTGGATCCCAGAAAAACGAATCTCTAAAGAAAGTCTTTCACATAAAATTTCTCACACCGAGTTGGATTCAGTTAACCCTTTCCTCACCATGGGCGACTTTTGTCGACAAGGAAGTGCCCCCTGCTGGTTCCCATGGGCGACTTTAGTCGACCAGGAAACCACACACAGATATATTCACTACTTTTCAGAAAGCTGGCATGTTGATATGTTTGGCCGCCCATACATCAACCATATACCAGCTGAAAGAGTGTTTTCGGATCGTTCTAATGGTGTAGTTTAATGGTGTAGAATTCGTACAATATTTGTTGCCGAAACCTCATGTTTCACAGACTACACAGACTACACAGGCATGAGGGATTAGCCTGTTTCGACGTCACCCAGAGGCGAGTCGAAGCAATCTTGATGCCTTAAACCCGTCAGCCGTGCCCGTGCACAAAAACAGCTAGTGCGTGATATCACGGCCTCCGGCGCGAAATGGTTAAAGGGAATGTACATCATTGGCTTTTGCTGTAATTTTCAGAAATGAACTATTTGAGGGGTTAGTATAATAGATCAAATATTGTTACACTGACATGTTTGAAGTTTTGTGTTCACAAATGCTGGAAAAACTAAGAAAAACAAAAATGTTCAAGTAGTCTGGTTCCTTGACTCCACTAAAAATAAAATGGACCAATTTATAAATGCCAGAAAATTGTAAGGTAAGGAAACCAGTCTAGCTGGCCTGCACCCGTTCATGAACATGTAACTAATAGCAAACAAAATTTGGACTGAAAAAAGTGTAAAGTTGGAGCAGTAGTTGAAAAATAGTTAGGTTTTTCCAACGGTGGTCGGCCGACCACCGTTGGAAATGTATACAAAAATACAATTTTCTTGAAAATGACTTCATACCTGCTGCCATAATTTTACAGGATGATTTAGACTGTCATTTACCAACATCCTAGTAAGGTATTTCGTAAAAACTTGGTAGTTTTATTTTTCGATGTTTGCAAATGTTGTATATTCCCTTTAAGCACTGCTAAAAAACTTTAAGCGCGCAAATCGTACCATTTGAAAGTCACTCATTTTCAGAATTCAAGAAATGTGGTATTGAAATGTTACCCCTGTGAAATTTTGTTTGCAGTTCACAGCATGGTGAAAAACTACACCGCCGATTACGATAAAACTCTCATATTTAACAAAGTTCACCACGAACTGAACCAGTTCTGCAGCGCACACAATCTCCAAGAGGTCTACATTGAACTTTTTGGTAAGTAAACAATTATGTGTTTGAAAAGCGTTTTTGGTTTTAGGAATGATAATTATGCAGTGACCATATGTATGGCATAATACAGGGTGTCCCCAAAACAACTTGTGCAAGCAGATATCCTTTAATTTCTCAAAAACTACTTAACAAGAGAATTTCATCTTGATGGAGCATATTAATTATACTCTTGTGTATAATCAGTGAAAATGCCTTGGAAATCCGTTCATGCAAACCAGAGATCTAGCAGATTGTAGAAGGCTATGGGTTTTTCACCCATTCCAATGGGATTTACACAGTTAGTGATATCAGTGCATCAGATTGTCACGGGCCTTTTCACTCTGATGTAAATTTAGTTAACTGTGTAAATCCCATCCCATTGGAATGGGTGAAAAACCCATAGCCTTTTACAATCTGTTAGATCTCTGGTTTGCATGAACGGATTTCCATGGCATTTTCACTGATTATACACAAGAGTATAAATATGCGCCATTAAGATCAAATACTAATGTTAAGTAGTTTTTGAGAAATTAAAGGCTATATCTGCTTGCACAACTTTTTTGGGGGGACACATTCTTACATCAACGGTGAACAGCGCCACCTAGTGCTGCATTTTGTCCAGTCCTTGCCCTTTCCAGCAACCTCTTTTATTGCCAAATTTTAAACACTTCTTCGGAATTTGTTTTTAGCTATGTTATTGCCGTTGCACAATTTGGAGAGAGAAATTATATCACATCTTGCTTTTTCTTAATTTTTTCTTCAGACCAGATTGATGAGAATCTCAAGAAGGCTCTTCAGGCCGACCTGACCGTAATGGCGCCAGGCCTTTACATCCAGGTATAAACTCCGTTCGCAAACAATAGAGGGCGCTTCATAACCACTCGCGAAAGCTCTATGCAAGACACACCCTGTGTGCGCGTCCAGTCTGCCCAGGTTTGGCGCAAAGTACACAATAGTTTTACTTTTAGTCTAAATGTGCACAAACTGATATCATCATGTGTTCAAGAGTAACCGTGGTAGGATGGCATGGTCCAGTGGTTATGGTGTTTGACTCATGTACGGTGGTATGTGGGTTCGAACCCTCCCAGAAACATGGTGTTTGTGCCCTTGGGCTAGACACTTAACTACAATTGCCTCTCTCCACCCAGGAGTATGAATGGGTACCTGTGAGGGTAGAGGACCGAATGTGTGCTGATATCGGCTGACGCGTGGTCTCGTGGCCTGATGAATGGGGGAATAAGGCCATGAGACACGTTTTTGCAGCAGCTCGAGATCAGCGCAATCTGGTACCGATTTATACTCCTGGGTGGAGAGAGGCAATTGTAGTAAAGTGTCTTGCCCAAGAGCACAAGCGCCACGTTCCCCGTCAGGATTCGAGCCCACGTGCCACGGCACACCAGTCGAACACTGTAACCATTGGACCACAGCGCTCCACATTTTGAACAAATCTTTAATTGTCTTTCTCTCTCTAAATCCATGATTTGTAAAAATCTCTTCAAAGTCGTCATCTCATATCATGTTTTTTTTTTCTTCATGCAGGCCGTCCGTGTCACAAAACCCAAAATTCCTGAATCCATACGCAAGAACTACGAATTGATGTGAGTACAAATTTGAAAGGTTTTTAGAGAAGTCTGATCTTCAAAAAGGCAAAGACAATTGTTTTGAAAATGTGCATGCTTGTAGAGATGCATGTTAAGTACACGTGATGAAAAGTGTTTTGCTCCATCGGACTAAGTGTTTCGTAATTGTCATCATCAATGTCTCATGCTTCATGATTGAGCATATTTTTCAGGAAATGAAGAATGGAAAACAAAAGATTTTGGCTACCATTGTAAAAAAATATTGACATTTTTCAAAATGCTGCAGAACCTATTTTATGAAGATTACTTCTTTCATGTGGGCGTTATTAGATGCCTCTATCAATTACAATATAAGTCAAGTTCCAGGGCTTCGTTTAGTAGTTCATCAGGATAAGAATGACCCCCACCTTGCTTCACAAAATAGGCTCTAGAACAAAAACTACTGGACCGAATCGGGCGATCTCGGTTTCATTTTTTTTCTAAAAAGATTCTCCATGCATTGGTATATGTGGTTTGAGTCTCAGGCTAGTGGAAGTATGAGGTTCCTTTCTTTTTTTTGGCCACCCTGTATAGCGCATCTACCAACTATTTACTTCTTTTTTTTGCAGGGAGAATGAAAAGACGAAACTCCTGATCGCTCAGCAGCACCAGAAGGTCGTGGAAAAAGAGGCGGAGACCGAGCGCAAGAAGGCGGTGATCGAGGCGGAGAAACAGGCCGAGGTCGCCCGCATCCACTTCGACCAGAAGATCATGGAGAAGGAGAGCATGAAGAAGATCTCGGAGATTGAGGACGCCACCCACCTGGCGAAGGAAAAGGCGAAGACAGACGCGGAGTTCTACAAGTCACATAAAGAGGCAGAATCTAACCAGGTGAGGAGATGCTCGGGGGCACCTCGCTGAGAGACAGTCGCAGACACATACAAGTTGTGTTTTACATACTCTTTAGGACAAGGCATTGTCTTTCCCTTTGTCCCTGTAATATAACACTCTCCCATAGACTAAGCACATAGAGTTCTACAAGTCGTAGAAGGCGGCAGAATCCAACCAGGTGAGGAGATGCTGGGGGGGAACTCACCGAGAGGCTGAGTCAGTCATAGAACCACACAATTTATGTTTTACATAACCCCTGAGGACAAGGCATTGTCTTTCCCTTTGTCCCTGTAATATAACACTCTCCCATAGACTAAGCACATAGAGTTCTACAAGTCGCAGAAGGAGGCAGAATCCAACCAGGTGATAAGACGCTCGGGGGGAACTCACTGAGAGGCAGAGTCAGTCGCAGACACACACAAGTTGTGTTTTACATAACGCACGAGGACAAGGCATTGTCTTTCCCTTTGTCCCTGTAATATAACACTCTCCCATAGACTAAGCACATAGAGTTCTGCAAGTCGTAGAAGGAGGCAGAATCCAACCAGGTGATCAGACGCTCGGGGGGAACTCACTGAGAGGCAGAGTCAGTCGCAGACACACACACAAGTTGTGTTTTACATAACGCAGGTGGACAAGGCATTGTCTTTTCTAGGGGGGGACTAGACACCATTTGACTTATATGCATAATGTGCACATGTACGTGTTGGTCCATGGCGGTTTTAGGTAACCTTATTACACTTAACATAATGTTTAGTTCAGTCTGACATTGACATTAACTTTTGTTCATAATTAGTGTAATCTGCCGTCTAAAATACGAACATTCAATACAAAAACTAGCCACCTGAACATCGCGGGATCCACAGAAATTGTTCGTAACAGCGATCGTTCGGTATAGCGATTTTAAGCTGCTGGTGCTCCGGTACTCACTTTTAAGTGCCCTTCAGAACTTCACCCTGCACGCCCTGGTAGTTACTGAAAGACGACAATGAACACATGCCGACTATTGAATTATTTCATTAATTACTCACTTTTTGGGCTTACTACCTGCAGCAATGGGTGGCTTTCCCCTTCTATTCCTTGGGGAAATAATAGCCACTTGTCGCTTTTTTGTTGACATTTTTCAACAACAATGTTCGGTATGTTTTGTACACAAAAAATCAGAAACCAAGGACGATATGCGGTATAGCTGAATGTTCGCTATAGTGGTGTTTTGTATAGCGACGTTCCGCTGTACAGGCAACAAGCAGCTGCTACATCAGGTGTAATCAAATAACGTTTTCTCCGTAAATATAAGACCTCATTCGTTGATTGCCATTACCGGGAAATATTTAACAAAACTCTCAATTTTGGATGGACAAATATCTACCTTTAACCACACACTTACCCCCTGATTTTACCCTACATTTTACATTTTTCTCATCAGAATGTTTTATGTTTTTTTTTTCATTTCAGATCAAACTCACGCCCGAGTATCTGGAGGTTCTGAGATTCCAAGCCATCGCTAACAACAACAAGATCTACTTTGGCAGCGACATTCCAAGCATGTTCTTCACTGACGAACCGGCCACCAAGAAAGTCTCCACAACTGCTCGTCAGGTAAGCGCTTCAACGTCCATTCGGCAGATCGGTGAAGTGACGTAGAATTTATAAAAAATTTCTTGAAAAACGTGTCGTCGTTTTATCTGAAATTTTGTCAGGAAAGGGTCTCTCATGAATTATTTCAAACTTTCGTAGCGCCGCAGTTTTTTTTTTAGCACTGGATTTTTCCTTAGATTTAGTTTTGAAAAAGGATTTTTTTTCCCCCCTCGTTTGGTCTGAAATATTTGTCCTTCTAGACTAGACTGGAGGACTTGTGAGCTAGACGTTGTTGTGGTTTGATACGCGATAACCCGCTGCCGCGAGAGGGCGCTATCACGACCAACTAATATCCACGAACCGTCGGAACAACGTCTAGGCCAATTCGTACTGGTTGTGTAATTACTTGTGATTGAACATGTAGACTGATAATTGGCGTACTTGTGTTGGTATTGACATCAACATTGCAAATGTGCTATGCATTTGCATTTAGCTGTAAATGTGATGATTAACCATTCCCACAATTTTTTCTTTTTATAACAGGAACCGAAAGTCCTCTGAAAAGTCTCATCAACCTCCGCCACGCTTACTGGAAGTAAGCCAACATTACCAGGTCCCAATTTAACGGCGCGACTATTAAGCATGGAAAATCCCCTAAGCACAGAAAGTGTATGCTTAGCACAAAAAAAAAACGGTTACCGGCCAACATTACATGCATTGGCTATTGCTGGTGGCTGGTACTCCCCTGATATTTGCTAAACAATTTTTTCGACTTAGCATGTCTGTAAAATTGGGCCCTGATAACTTCCTGAGATACACCTTAAATTTTAATTTTTTTTCGGAACGTAATCACTTTGTTTTCATTCTTTTTGTACAATTTTTACCATTTACAATTTTTGAAAGGCTACTTTTTCTTTAAACTCCCTTTTTGCTCAACCCCAACTCTGCTTGTTCCAACAATTAGCATTTTCCTGGGTAGCGCTGCCGATATTACCGAGACTGGATTTGATTCGTCTTGTCGATAGAGACTGCCACTGCCGCGGCAACTCAGCCGCGTTTGTCACGGGACTGGCTGCAACATAGGGGAATAAAATTACAAGTTCAGTCTTTAGCCAAGACTAGCAAAACACTATAGCAGTGTTCAAAGTTTTAGGGCCAATTACAAAGTTTTAAATTTAACTTTACAAAAAATTCTTGCAAAGAAATTGTCACCAGGTAATAAAAATTGCCCACTTCTTTGTTGGTATAAAATTTAATTTTATAATTAATGTGCAAACGTTACGATTCAGGTGTTTTTTTTCAATGTAAAATTTGGCAGTAGAAGGAGGCTTACAAAATTAGTTTATTGAAAAAGTAAAATTTAAGGTTGCATGGAGCGTTTACATTTGTTATCTTAAAAGCAAATTTGAATCTGAGATGTAGATCAGTCGACCATTATTCACAGAATTGTCACATTATTCGACAAAAAAAAAAATTCTCCCGTAGAATTGGTAGAATTTATCAACAGGGATTACAAACAAATATTTCTTTAACCAGTCCATGTCAGATGACATGTATACACGCAAAGGTTTTGTGGTATTCGGAACGGATGACGGATAAACACGCAGGGAGCGAGGCCTGAAATATCTGTCAGCGACCCGCTTGCAGCGAGCGAGGCCGGAAATCTCAGGGTGTGCTACCCGCAGATGACGGCCTGAACCCATCTGGCATCGAGGTTCGTGAAAAACAATCCCGTGTCTGGGTCCGGTCAATGTCAAAATAATCCTGGCGCGAAGTGGTTAATTAAGAAAGAGATTTTCGGATGTTCCAGGAAAAGTAGCTAAAAAAATATATGAAATATGTAGTCGGCTTTAATGTGTAAATTTTGATATTTGCTTTTCAAAAGTTTATTACTTTATTTCCTTTACTGTAATTTTTTCTTTTTCAATTTTCATCCTTTTCCCATCCCACCCCTACTCTGTAGTCGAACCCGGGTACGTGATTACTGTACACTCACGAGGCCCCCTTCAATGGAGAAACCATTGTGCTTGCTATTGTACAAAGCAACTGTCGAGACAGATTGTCTGAACAATAGCTAGCACAATGCTTGCACCATTAAAGGGGGCCTTTGTGATACAGGGTGAGTAAAAAAATCGGAACCCAAACCCACAGAAATATATTTCATATTAAGAAAAACATGTACTGTAGCACCAAAAATAATTAACTAATCACGGTCAACGCAGCTTGGAAATATTGTCCAATTACACGATATACAAACGGACGCGGAATGCACAAAACATGAGACAAACAAAGCTTAACGTACACAAATTCCATAGGGTTGTCTAAGGGGCGTGGCTAACTCGCAAACGGCAATAGGTCAATTATGCCTGGTAAGCCAATTTAATAACTACTTTTAGATGAAAAAATTACTTCAGTTGCTCAATCCGTTCAAATTGTATCACCATTTAAGCAAAATGACCCAAAAATCTGTTAAGTCCAAAATGCGATTTCAAGAATTGTCGTTACAATTGTCTTCAAACATCACCAGCGAAAAAACCTCAGTTTAAAGGTTAAAAATATTCAACAAAGTCCTTTTGCAGGCCCGTCTTTTTAACAAAAAATGGATTTTACAAATCCTATTGTCGACCAATGGATTATAAAGATATTGTGTACTACAGTTGTTGAAACAAGTATTCTGTGTCATTTTTGTTGTTGTTTCAAACAGTCAGAACACACAATCAATTGTGTTTTTGGACAAAACTGATTTTAGGGTTACTTAGTGATAAAATTGTAACGTGTAGAACAATTGATATAATTTTCTCACTGTAAAGTATTTTAATAAATTGGCTTATCTTCAAGCAAACTTGAATCCTTGATCCTGATTGGTCGATACATGGCAACAAGCCGTGCTACATATAACCATACCGCACGGCCACGGTCCATACCGCACTCCGCGTATTGCGCTATTCTAAGCCTACGTGACGCGATTAGTGCTGCACAATTCACTGTGAATTCAAAAGTTGCGCGTAGGTTACACAGCATGCGTGTTCCAACTTTACTGTGCGTCAAGTTTGCTTGAAGATAAATTCGTTCTCGCGCTCGTGGAACACGGAAAATGTAGTGCGTTTGTGTCCCACATACCACTCGGCCTTCGGCCTCGTGGTTTGTGGGACACAGACGCACTACATTATTCCGTGTTCCAATCGCGCTCGCAAGATAACTAATATTTTAAGTCATAATTAATTTTGGTGCAACTTTTTTTATATGAAATATATTTCTATATTTTGGGGTTCCGCTTTTTTTTATCGCCCTGTAGAATTGATAGCGTACCCGAAGTGGTCTATACTGTAAAGCAGATTTTTTTTATTATCGGAACAAAAAATGGATGCAACTCTCTAAAGGTGCCTTAACGTAACAATTTCTCAAAAGTAGGTGGACAGGTCTTTTTATATGAGTGTGAAACGTGTGGAACAAAATGTAAATCTAATCAACAAATAAATCTTGTTGTTTCTTAATATGACATTTAAACGGATGTGAAACTAAGTAGAATAGTGAAGTATTAGCTCAATGGTCGTTTATTTCGTTAAGAATTTGACTTAGTGATAGAAATTTTGGGGCACACTATCCCGAAAGCAAACTGGCCATTTGGTGAAGTTCACTTTGTATGTTAGGCCAAAAAAAAATAAGTCGGTCTCTGGTCAGCGCGCGCGTCGATTTTAATCATTCGCGTCAATCTTTTTTTTTTCCAAAATGTTCCGCGGTAGCTCCATTGCCGCACCTCCTCATTTTTTTTTTACCAAAGAGCACCAAGGAATGGGAAATTGCACCAAGGCAAATGATCGAGAGCACCAAGGCAAATTATTGAGGACACCAATGTACATGAGGACACCAAAAAAGCAAAAAAAATACCCCACCTTGTCTGTACAATCCAAGCTTGAAGGGAAAAAAAAAGAAGCCGCGTCCCCGCGTCAATTCCGGAACTTTGGTCAGACCAGAGACCGAATTTTTTTTTTTTTTGGCCTTAGTTTTAGTCCATGGGCTCCGTGCACAAGTACCCCCTCAACGGTAAGAAAGGGAGAGTTGGGGGAGACCACTGGGAGAGACATCTGAACGCATTGCTGACGACGCCTGACACTCACGCGAAGACAATGTTGCTTTGTGCATGTTCAGAATGCAATTAGTGTTGCGAATTTTACGCCATACCCGCTCGAACCAGTACGCACACTGGGTGTGTCCTTTTTCACAGGACTTTCAAAAGTGGTCAAAAACGCCTCTCTTGTTCGTGCACGGAGCTGATGTAAAAAAAAAAATGTAAAAAAAAAAAAGATGTTAGTAAAATAAAAATACATTTTTGTTCGAAGACATAGATGTCAAAGACGGGCCACACAATAATGGCGACACCAAAAACTAGATGTATGGTATCCTTAGAGGGACATGTGCACTGTCCTGATTAATTTTTTTTTTTTTTTACAGCATCACAAATTCAATATTATTTACATGTTCACAAATTTTGCTGTCATTAAAAACGTTGGGCACATGATACACTTTGTGATGTGGACAAAAAAATGTGCAATGCAATGATTTTTTTTTTTTTTGCTTTTAAATTTTTCTGATGTCATAAAAATGATTTAAAATACAATTAATTGTGTTTGTCCTGGCATGGCTACCATACCCTCAACTAGCGTTTTTCTAGTAAAAGAAGGTACTATAGGACATTTGGTTTGGCTGTAATTTTCAGAAATGGATGGATTTAGGGTAACTATATTGTTACATTAACCTATTTTAAAGGTATTGTGTTTGTAGATGCTAGAAAAACCACAAAAAAATGTTTTTTGTAGTCTGGTTTCCTGACCCTACTTCCGACGAAATGGAGCTAATAGACGTCGTCAGGGAATTGTCAGGTCAGGGAACCAGACTAGCTGGCTTGCACCGGTCCACTGATATGTAACCGATTGGAAACAAAGTGTGGAAAATCTAAATTTGGAAAATTGGGGGCAGTAATTGGAAAAAAAAGTCAGTTGTTTTCCGACAATGGTCGGCCAACCATCTTTGGAAATTGATACCAAAATTCCACTTTTCTTGAAAGTGACAGCACACCAGGTGCCATGATTTCACAGGATGCTTGAGACTTATATTATTCACTTGCAGTCAATTATTTCATAATAATTTGGTAGTTTTGTTCTTGTATGTTTGCAAATGCATATTACAGAAGCACCCATAAGAACTATGTATATTTTACATACATCGTAATATTCCAATGTTATGCACAAGTCATGAACTGTCACCATTCCAAAGCTCAACAATATTCATCATCATGTGTGTTGTCTCATGTACTTACAACTCACATACTTGTTCCATAAATTGTGGGGAGCACCATACAGGCGAGCGATAGTTTTTGTGGGGACAAAACAGTAGAAAAGTCCCCACAACTTGATCAAAATTTGCCTGAAAGGTTCCCCACAATGTGGTCAATGCTAAACGCACACATTTGCACATTTTCCCGAAGTCTTGGTGTATATTTCTTTCTTTTCTAATTTGTCTTTTCGTAAGTAAATAGTAGATGCCATACGTATTGTTTAGCCTCTCACACAAGCCAATAATGGCATGGGATGGGAAGGCTTTAGTAAAAAAAAAAAAAAAAAATAGCTCCAAAAAACGGCTTGAGAAAGAGGCTAGTCACTTTGCTTTCCACTTTCAATATTTCGATAGTGTTTATTTGTAATTTAGTATTTCGGTGTATGGACAACTGTAATAGATAGGTCAATGGCATTTTGATATATTTTGGAAAAAAAAATTAAGGAATGTTAATTCATATAAACATATAACCACCAATTTCAAAGTGTGAACAAAATAAAGAAACGTACATCTACCGTATGTTTGACTTGGCTCAATTTTATCATTAATTTTACTGACGTGGTGTATTAATATTCCTGCATTAATAACACTTTTCCTGCAATTCTTTTTAATTCAATTTTCATATCAATTCAATATGAATTACTAAAAAAAAATGTAAGGTAATCCCTGAATTTTTACCGGCCAATTTATGTAACATTTCATTTAAAAAAGGCTTACGGTCCCCGTTTTATTATCTTGATGCTTTGTCTTCTCAATTTTTCTTGGGCAAAATATGAAAAAGAAAAATTTAGACGCACGTGCATTAGTGTTATCAAAACCGGCTTTCAGAAGCAAAGCTGTAATACTCGAGTTGCATGAATACAATATGTGGCCGAGTAAACTGTCCACCCACCCACCAACCAACCAACATTCATGTAAGTAGCTCAAGTTTCACACCCGCCGTGGGAAAAAAGAACGAACACAAGTAAAAAGAAGCAACACAAAGAGAAACACAACACTCTTTTCTAGGTTTCATATTTTTTTTTATTCTTGGAAAATCCAAGATACTTTTTTTGCATTTTTATACAATCTTTCAATGTTTGGCATTCGCTTTTACACAGCCGTCAGACGAATTCTAAAACATCCTGAAGTTTAGAAAGATGTTAATTTTTTTTTCTGGCCAGTTGATTTGCGTTGTAATTTTGCAATATTCACAGTCAAAGATTACAGAAGATATGGGTTTTTTAATAGTGTGATGGACTGAATTTCACATTTTAAGCTAAATAATGGTACACATTTTAAAATATTTGTGTGAAGAAATATTTAAGAATTCCATATTCCATGCATCCCTAAGGAATATCCATGGTCAAGGCCTTAGTCCAGATGCCTCATTATACTGGCCCCGGATCATTGATAAGTTGAGTCTGTACACGGTATCGCACTGGACAGGAAACAAGTATCCATGTTCCAGCAGGTATGGCCCCAGAACATGAGTAGCACTCAGTATCAGATTAAGTACAATAGAGATACCATATTATAGAATAGTCACCAGACACCTAGAGTATAGTAAACTGTGAAACATGAGTAATTTTGAAAGAAAACACTTTTTATTCCAAATTATCTGATCCATAATCTTTGACTGCGAAAACATAAAGTTTGTCATGCCACAGGTGGTGCGATGCGGTCACGATTCAAACATGTAGGGGGCGCTCTACTGCTTGAGTTGGTAGACCTGCCAGACGCGGATGATGTTGTCAGTGTAGCCGGCGAAGAGCGTTTGGCCGTCGGCCGACCAGGCCATGCACAGACAGCTCAGTTGGGGGGACTTGGAGTTGGGGTTGATCACCTCCAGTTTCAGTTCGTCCACGATGCACTTCTCTTCCAAATCCTACAAAAACAAAAATGACAAGATTGTGTCAGGTCTGTGACAAGACTGCTCAGACACGATGTGACAAGACTGGCTAGAGTGTGACAAGACTTTGAGATTTGAGAAGACTATGAACCGGGGTGACAAGATTGCGACAAGATGTGACAAGACTGAGACAAGATGTGACTAGACTGAGACAAGACTGTGACAAAACTTTGAGAAGCTGTGACAAGATGTGACAAGATGTGACAAGAAGTTACAAGACTGAGACATGATGTGACAAGACTGCTAGACTGTGACAAGATGTGACAAGGCTGAGACAAGATGTGACAAGACATTGAGAAGACTGCGACAAGATGTGACAAGACTGAGACAAGATGTGACTAGACTGTCACAAGACTGTGACAAAACTTTGAGAAGCTGTGACAAGATGTGACAAGAAGTTACAAGACTGAGACATGACGTGACAAGACTGCTAGACTGTGACAAGAAGTGACAAGGCTGAGACAAGATGTGACAAGACATTGAGAAGAATGTGACAAGACTGTAACAAGACAGTGACATGACTAGCTAGACTGTGACAAGACTTCGAGAAGCAGTGACAAGATGTGACAAGAAGTGACAAGACTGAGACATGGTGTGACAAGACTAGCTACACTGTAACAAAACTTTGAGAAGCTTTAAGAAACTGACAAGCTGTGACAAGACTGAGACATGAAGACGGAAGCTGTGACAAGACGTGACAAGACTGTAACATGATGGTACAAGACTAGCTAGACTGTGACAAGACTTGTAAGACTGTGACAAGATTGCCATTAATGTCATATTGAAAGCCCTAAATGTAAGAGAAAAATTGGATGTACAATGTATCTGGTTTGGGTGTCCGGGTCCAGAACAGTTGATGTGGCCAGAGAATAAAACCAGACGAGTTCGACTTTACGAGCCATTTAGCACCCCACGCTGCACAATACTGGCAAGAGGAGGTGACTCTAAGACTCGAAACACACCCAAAAAAGAATACCCCCCCCCAAAAAAAAACAGACAAGCAGCATGATGTGACAAGACGTGACAAGACTGATACAAGACTGTTGCAAGGAAATGACAAGACTGTTAAACAACATCGACAAGACTATGACAAGACTATGACAAGAATGTGACAAGACGGTGACAACATTGTGACAAGAAAACGACAAGACTGTGACAAGTTGTGACAAGAAAATGACGAGACTGTAAAACGACAGCGACAAAATGCGACAAGACTGTAAACCAACAGTGACGCGACTGGGACAACATTTGACAAGACTGTTCCCAGATCCGTGACCAAAAGAGTCCCATTTCCCTCATTTTTAACCCCAGGAAAAGGGCCATCGTGTGGTCACCCACAGTCCTGCAGGGTACCTAAACATGCACTATTGCCCTCACTGCCAGTCCATGTAAGTACAAAACATCAGTGATGTGTGACTCACCCAGATCTTGATAGAGGGTCCCGTAGCAGCGCATAGCCAGTAGCGGTTAGGGCTGAAGCACAGTGCGTTGATCTCGTCCGCTCCATCCAGTGTGTATAGATGCTTGCCCTCGTTCAAGTCCCACAGCATGGCCTGGCCGTCCTGCATAGCAATGTAGAGAATACATGTACATACTTAAACTGGTATCAAATAAGAAATATGGATACCTTAACCCTAACCCCCAGGGCCTTTTTGCCAGGAAACATCCTCAATCCAACAAAACCCTCCAAAATTGTGCAGTTATGTTCAAATGAAGGATACCCAGCGACTCAAGACAGTCCTGCCTCTAAAAATGCATTCATCCTCAATCCTACCAAATATTGCTCTTCTTCAAACACCATTCATCCTCAATCCTCCAAAATCCCAATGTGCTAAAACACCATTCATCCTCAATCCTCCAAATCCTCATGTGCTTCAAACACCATTCATCCTCAATCCTCCAAAATCCTCATGTGCTAAAATACCATTCATCCTCAATCCTCCAAAATCCTCATGTGCTAAAACACCGTTCATCCTCAATCCTCCAAAATCCTCATGTTTTTCATACACCATTCATCCTCAATCCTCCCAAACCGCAATGAGGATGTTGGAGGATAGAGGTGGGTTAGGGATGAGTTTGGCTTTGTTCCCAAAGGATTTCACACTAATATCATTGACAAAGTTTTCTGCTTTCATGTCTGACTTGTTCCTGTCTCCGCAAACCCAAAATTCCACCACAAACAAATGATATGAGGGGGAAAAAAAGATTTTTAGTTTTTAAAATTTTTTCGGCCTGTGCACTCGAAACAAATCCAACAGTGTATTTTTATGATTACGCATTCAATAGTTGACCTCGAACAATAGAGGACAATAGGGTTCACGACTGGTTGAAGTTGCACAAGTGGAAATCGTGCACAAAACCAATGTCTGTTCTTCCCAGGAAGTAAGTGTATAAACAGTAGGAAGACAATAGGCAGGCATGCAACTGGCAATTTAGGGAAAAACGAGGAAACTCCAAACCACACAAGACTTTGTACAGTATTTTTCAATTTGCAATGGCATTTCATGAGAAGTAAAAAAACGAGGAAATCAGCGGATCCAAGGAAAATTTGCATGCTTGAAGAGAAGGTCCACTACCTTATGGAGACATGAGTATAATAGGGAACAAAAGATTCAATACGTCTCCACAGGTTAATTTCTATAGGTGAATACGTCTCCACAAGGTTATCACGAAATAGATATATGGATTTTACTCAAAAACTAGGAATTTTCAAGGTGTCTTGATCCGGCGCAAATTGAAGTGTTTTATGTAAGGGAAATTAATTCTGGTTAAAATAGGAGCATTTTGAAACTAGATTTTCACACTCTGAAATTTTAGCACACGAGAACAAAGAAATGGCTCCACAAAGATACAAATTCCAGTATGTGTGCACGTATCTGTGTTTTCGGGGTTTTTTGTTTTCTTGTTTGTAATTTTGTGGGGCAGGCCTTACCCTTCCTCCAGATGCACACAGAGAACCATCAGGAGACACCGTGACACAGTTCAGGAAGCCAGTGTGTCCGTAGTGGTTGGTCTTCAGTCGGCAATTGGTCAGATTCCACACCTGCAAAATAACCAAAAGTAGCAAACTAAAAATGCATTTAACACTCCTAATTTATCCTTTTGCTTGACAACGTTTGCCCCAGAGTTAGCACCCATTCTTCATAGTTCTCTTAACCCTAACTCCCTAGGCCTTTTTGCTAGGATGTAGCCTCAATCCTGCAAAATCCTCCAATTGGCCTCATGGAAAAATAGCATATAGCCTCAATCCTGCAAATTCCTCCGTTATTTCTTGAATATGGTCCATGGAGGGGTGACCACTGCCTGAATCCTGCAAAATCCTCCGGCTATGACTGTCAATAGGCTGAGGCAGAGGCAGTGACATCCTGGAGCAGTGCGGAGGATGTCAAGTATAATCAAGGGCTAAATTTATGCACGGCTGAGCATAAACACCACAAGGTCCGGCCCAAGACCTTGACACAGTGCATACTCCGAAATCAGCAACACACTTTTGCCATGTAACCTCAATCCTGCAAAGTCCTCCAATTTGCAAAAAGGATTTTGGAGGATTCAGGGCGGTTAGGGTTAAAAATCCTGCCAGATGCAACACAGTGCAACAGGTGGAAAAGAACTGGAGCTCATTGATGCATTCTGTTTCCAACACCAGTGCATGAATGGCCAGCTCTGAAACAATGAGAGCTTAGTCCCATTGAACAATGCCACAGTTGTATCCTGCTGCGTGCCGTGACCACCGACTCTGAGGCAGTGTGGCCTTGAGATTTTTCCCCTGATGGATCTCACTACATTTGGCAGGCTTGTCACTTAGTCAAGTGTTGGCATGTTGCTACGTTTGGCACGGTTCTAGCAAACATAACCTTAGGACTTAGGACTAAGCAATCTTCTGTAGAGTATGGTAAACATTTTAAGAACCCTCCTCGAGTCTATTCCCTGGTAAGCACTTGGATTGTTATGTTGAAAGCGCTAGGTGTAAGAGCAAAATTGGATGTATCTGGTTTGGGTGTCCGGGTCCAGAACAGTTGATGTGGCCAGAGAATAAAACCAGACGAGCTTGACTTTACGAGCCATTTAGCACCCCACGCTGCACAATACTGGCAAGAGGAGGTGACTCTAAGACTCGAAACCAAAACAAACTACGAGCCCCCCCCCCCAAAAAAGAAAGACAGACAAGCAACCCCTCTCCCCCCCCCCCCCCCCCCAAAAGGTTACAAATTGAAAGGTCAGGGTATTTTCTCTATAAGAGGGTAATGGCATGAGAAAAGTAATACTGCACCGGATAGGGCATCAACGTGTTGTTTACTTGTGCTTCTAAAAGATAGCACCAGATAGGAAGCTTTAAAGAGGTTGTGGAATGCCCGAAGACATTTCCGTCATTTTTTGGGTATATGTAGCCTAAGGTGTGATGAAATAAAAACGACTATTGTTTCTGTCATGAAATGAGTACAAAGGGTACTTTTGAGAGCTATTTTTCAGGTCCTGTTTCGACCCGAACGTGCAATTTGTGTAAAAGTCGTCGTTGCGGGCAGCAAACAAAACACAGTAAATCGTGACGTAATAAACAGGACTCGTTTATGCTACTCTGCATCGGGAGTCCTGTTTATTACGTCACGATTTACTGTGTTTTGTGTGCTGCCCGCAACGACGACTTTTACACAAATTGCACGTTCGGGTCGAAACAGGCATGACAGGACTTGAAAAGCAGCTCTCAAAAGTACCTTTTGTACTCATTTTACGACAGAAACAAATAGTCGTTTTTATTTCATCACACCTTAGGCTACATATACCCGAAAAATGACGGAAATGTCTTCGAGCATTCCACAACCTCTTTAACCCTAACCCTGCCAGACACAACACCATGCAAGTCTGTGGGACCTTGCTGCATTGAGCCATCAACACCAGTGCATAAATAGCCAGTTCTGAAACAATGAGAGCTAGTCCCATTGATCCATGCCACAGTTGTATCCTGCTGCATTTGGTGACCACAGACTCTGAGGCAGTTTGGCCTTGAGATTTCTTCTGACCTGATGGATCTTGCTGCACTGGGCGGGCTTGTCATTTTGACGAGTGTTGCATGTTGCTGCGTTTAGCAGGGTTTCTAGCCAGAATACCATGGGGATAGCTAATCGTACGAGTTCCCATATCCGTTTGCATGCCAGATCTCTTAATTAACCACATTAACTTAAATTCGTCATCCACTACAATGGATAGGACAAACTTACTATGCAGGAATTTACAAACTTTTGTGGGTTTTGTAAAAATGAGTTGTTTTTAGTCCGTACCTTGACAACCTTGTCGCTGCTTGCAGAGACGATGATCGGATTGACTTGGTTGGGGGAGAAACGAACGCAGGACACCCAGTCTTTATGGGAGTCATCCTGTTAAGAAAAAAGACGACGACGTTAGCTTTGACGAGTTCATGTATGTGGGGAGCGTGGCCAGTGGTTAGGGTTTGTGAATCGTGATCAGAGGGTCAGGGGTTCGAATCCAGCTGCTGGCCATGTGTTGTGTCCTTGGGCAAGCCACTTCACCTCCACTTGCCTCTCTCCACCCAGGAGTATAAATGGGTACTGGCATCTAGCTGGGGAGCAACCTGCGATGGACTGGCATCCCACCCAGGGGGAATAGAAACATTCTCAGTCGTTTCATGCCACTGAAAGCGGAGATAAACGCTGGCCTGATAGGCTGCATTGGCTCGTGACAGACTTGTTTGTGTGTTACTGTCGACCGGAGCTTAGTATTTTAGACACAAGGTAATGTTACACTCATTTAAGACTTCACGTTGCATGACAGTTGTTCAGTTCTTATTTTGTGGGTCATTTTTCACCGGGTCTGTCCACGAATTTGGGACAGACCCTGCAGTACAATGATCCGTGGGGGTTTGCTATATGCCCATTACAGCCCCGCAAACCGCACGGGAACGCAGTTTTGGGAACGCCTCAATGGGCAAGGCTCCTGCAAATCTGATTTCTAGAATGTGGTCCTCGGAGGGGTGACCACTGCCTCAATCCTGCAAAATCCTCCGGCTATGACTGTCAATAGGCTGAGGCAGAGGCAGTGACATCCTGGAGCAGTGCGGAGGATGTCAAGTATAATCAAGGACTAAATTTATGCACGGCGGAGCATAAACAACACAAGGTCCGGCCCAAGACCTTGACACGGAGCATCCTCTGAAATTAGCAACATACTTTTGCCACGTAGCCTCAGTCCTGCAAAATCCTCCATTCTGCAAAAAAAGCATTTTGGAGGATTTGGGAAGGTTAGGGTTAATTGGCAAGCAGAATAACACAGCTGAGCAAAAACATGTTCTCAGCCAATTTGGCAGAGAACCAGTTACAAGCAATACACACCCCATGCTATTTCGGCCGGTAAATGTCTTTTTCGCTCAGCAAAATATTTACCTGAATGGTGTACTTGCAAACTCCCAGGGTGTTCCACAGCTTGATGGTCTTGTCCCTGGAGCCGGAGACGATTTGTCGGTTGTCCTGGGAGAACGCCACGCTCAGTACGTCCTTGGTGTGACCGACGAAGGTCCGTGTCGATTTCCCCCTGTAAATATCCAACAAATATACAAATAAGATTAAAATTGTTTTCAAAGTGGCTTCCAAGAAGGCTGTAAATGCCACTAATACAGTTAGGAGTAACTGTTGTTTTGTTTTTTGGGGTTTTTTTCTTTTTATTTGTTTCGAACAAAATCTACATAGCTATGTAGAAAGGGTTATGGCTCCTATGGACCCAATTTTGTATCAGCAAAAATAGGTGTTGCCTTGTGGTTAGGGTTTGTGACTCATGATCAGAGGGTCAGGGGTTCGAATCCAGCTGCTGGTCATACGCTGTGGTCTTTGGCAAGCCAATTTAGCCCCATCTGCCTCTCTCCACACAGGAGTATAAATGGGTACCGGCATTAGCTGGGGAGTAAACTGTGATGGACTGGCATCCCATCCAGGGGGAATAGAAATATTCGCAACCTTTTCGTGCCACTGAAAGAAGATATAAACATGGGCCTGATTGGCCATATTAGCTTGCGACAGACTTTACTTCTTTTTTTTACTACGTTGAGTATGTTTGTGCGTTACTGTCGACCGGAGCTAAGTGTTTTTGACACACAACGTAATGTTAGACTCGTGTTGGTCTTCACTTTGCGTGACAATTATTTGTTGCGTTTTGTGGGTCATTTTTCACTGGGTCTGTCCACAAAGGTAGGACAGGCCCTGCAGTACAATGATCCGAGGGGGTTTGCTATATGCCCATTACAGCCCCGCAAACCGCACGGGAACGCAGTTTTGGGAACGCCTCAATGGGCAAGGCTCCTGAAAAATCTGATAAAAAAAAAAGTCGAGAAAATAGAAGAATCCCTCCGCCAACTTTGGGATTGGGTTATGGGCTTCTTGTATGAACAGAAAATGACACCTCCGCTGCTCACGAGAGCTCTGTGCGTTGGACACACAGCATGTACACACTTGTCAGTAATGCATTCAAGAATCTGTTCCAGATGTCCCTCTCGACTTTTTCTCTTTTTTCTTTGGTAACCGTTTAGTGGTAGGGGATACTTGTGCTAAGTGTCTACGGGCCACTTACGTTCCGAGATCCCACAGGCGAAGCGTCTTGTCCCACGAGCAGGAGAGAGCGAACTGTCCGTCGGACGACATCACGATGTCCGAGACGAAGTGACTGTGGCCCTTCAGACGTTTGGTGGGCACGCCGTAGTTGTTCTCGTCGCGAGTCAGCTTCCACATGATCACGGACTTGTCTAAAATAAAAAAATTTAAAAAGACGTTCTCTTTTGTGACTTTGTGGTTCTGCAAATAAAAGGAAGTGTATATTTAGCCAGCGCCAGCTAAATTTAAGTTAACGCTATTTTGCAAGGTAGGTTGTACAATGCCCTCTACATTAACCCTTACTCTCTGAGGGTAGTTTACTGCATGTCAGTTGGTTATGCCAATGCCCTCCAGCTGCAGTTTATTGGCAGATAGTTTGTCTTAACAGTGAAGGCTCCAATTGGCAGGAGTTGGAGGCCCTGGAGGGTGCCTGATACTGACCAGCTGGGGGCACTCACTTTGTTATCAGAGGACTCTCATTGTTCTCTGTGGCATGTATTGGAGTGCCTGTCCAGTTACCCTTGAAATGACATGGCAGATATTGGAGGGCCATGCAAAAAACATAGGAGATTTTCTTGAGGCACATATTGGCATGCGTTGGAGGGTCTAGTAGGGTAAGGGTTATAAAAGTTATTAAATTACCACCATCGGATGTGCAAGGCCTGTGGCCTAGTGGATAGAGCGTTCAACTCATGGTGGGAGAACAGCCATAGCGACATTTTGAGAAAAACAATGTTCATCCCAAAAAATTAAGAATACTCTTCTTTTATTATTTTAATTTGACTCCAACATTTAATTACAGAGTATTACATTTTCTTTTTGTGATTCCTGGCTCTGGAAGATTTTTTTTTAAAGGGAAATAAGGTCCAAAATTGTAAAATGGTCTGATTCCCATCTCGTGAACACAAATTCACAATGACAATATTGGCGCAGAACCAGACTAAGATTTTTCACCGTTAAAATTTTTTAAGTCCCAAAAAAGTCACTGTGCATGTTCAGTGTTTAGCCAGCAAACTATCGTTTCATTTAGTCGGCTTCGGCTACATTTACGCTGCCAAAATAAAACTAACAATTCGGACACTTCATTCAGTGATGAGGCTTTTTTTTCCACCTAAAAATAGATGTATCTGGTTTGGGTAGCCGAATCCAGAACAGTTGAACTGTACCCAGGGATAAAAACCAGACAGGGTTACTTTATGAGTCTTCAGCACCCCGCACAAATGGGAAAGAGGTTGAGGGGGTGACTCTAAGACTCAATACATTATTTTTGTTTTTGGCCGGATTACCAAGAAAAATCTTTTATTTTTTTTTCCAGTTGGGTCCCATGGTACAAAATGCAGAACTTTGAGAGCACAGTTTTAGGCAGTTTGTCTGAGATATGTTAAGAAGCTAGTAAAACCTTAGTCCGAGTAACTTGGACCCAACTTATCGCCTTTTTAACATTCGGACATGGTCTGGCGATAGTGGGGTCCAAGCTAATGGTTATATGCCGAGCAACACAATTCTGTCACTGACCCAAAAACCCAACATTGCCCAACAAAAATATCAGATTTCACCCTCAGCCTCCAAATTAGTAGATACGCCACCTGAGGTACAAGTAGACATCGATAATTAAGATGGTTGTACTGAAGTTTACTTACAATCCGGATGAAAAGTGAAATGTCCCGTTCAATTCCAAGAGCTCCCCTCGCGATCGTGAACACGTTAAATTTCCGACTGGTGTTTGAATTGCGATGTGGTCTTCATGCCCAGGGCTCGATTTACAAAAAAAAAGTGGCATGCACTGTTGCATGTAGACCAAAAAACCTACATGCACCAAGAAAAACCCACATGCACCATAATTGACTTACACCCGTCTGCTTCTCTGAAGGCATTCTTTCTCTTTGATTTATCGAACTTTCTACAGACAGTACACCCGTGAACGTTGCGTTGTATACAACGCCACGCTGTTGTGACATTTCGAACATTGCGAAATTGATCCGCCATACATAATTTCGTACATATGTTAGGTACTCACATAGAAAGCTAAATTTGCCTTCCCGCGTGTTCAGTATGTGTAATTTCGACGAAATTTGCCGTCGATATTTTAAGTGACATGACACAAGTACCCAGGGTCATTTGCGTGCAAAATTATCGGAGCGCTCCGAGCTACCCGTCCGCTTCATGTGGCGCATATGATAGGCGGCGTCCGATTGGCCAATAACGAGACCACGTGATAAACGCAGCTAATAATTTGGAATCACACTTATGATCCGGACATAAGGAATGCCCGGAGCGTCAGTGCGATACCAAATTATCCGCAGCATGTATCACGTGGTAAATCACATGCATGATCGGAGGAGGTTGCAGGACGTCGGATCTCCAAATTTTACCGCGTTCTCTGAATCTGCTGCGAGGAATAATTTATGGATATATAAAAGAAATAACACGTTTGTACACTATCTGGTCAAGTATTCAACAAACTTTATAATTATTCTCACTCATTTGTAAATAGTAAATATATGCATGAAATGAGTATTTTGGTGGCTAAAAAAGTTACATGCACGTCGTGCATGCTCAATAAAAAAAGCTACGTGCACAAGCAAAAATCTACATGCACTGGTGCATGCGTGCACCCGGGTAAATCGAGCCCTGTTTATGCCCAGCGTTCATTCGATGGTCCCCGTATCTCGTGCATGTCGAGTGCGATTCCGTTACCGTTACTTGTTCCAAGTGTGGCCTTTATTTACGGAGGTAGGCCTAGTCATGCCTAATCCAGTAAATGGGCCACATTTATGGGGCTACTATTTTCCCACAATCATGACAATATGACCAAAATTTAAAGGAAAGAATGTTGCATCCTGACAAAATTGTAAATGTTTCTCATTCTCAGGCTTTACCATTCTCAGTCCCAGCATGCCCAGACTCGCGTCTTAATATCAATCATCATTTTTCCAATAAATCATGACTTTATTGAAATGATATAGGCCTGTGATTATGAAGAACGCAGTGGCTATCGTTACGGCAGCCGTAACGCATTTCCCATTTTCTATCGTTACGGTAGTACTGCAACTTTCATAAAAACATGAGAAGAAAATATATAATTAGAAGGAAAAAAAGTGAATTTGAACGTTATGAAATTTGGACTTTATTTCCCTTTTTAAAAAAATCCTCCAAAGCCTCAGGTTAGAAAAGGAAAAAAGTTCGAGTGCAAAACTGAGATGCGAACCCGCAACCTCGCAGTGCAAAATCCTACCCTCTATCGACTGAGCTGTCGCACTGCTCGCTAAATCGTGGGGAAACAAATAATTATATACCTGCGTGCGTATCAAAAAAGTATCGTTGAGGGCGCCAAACAACGGCTGCCGTAACGATAGCCACTTCGTATGAAGAAAAGAGTGGTGTCAGGTTGCAACATTATTTCCGTCCCTTTAAAACGATGAAACCCCTTCAAATTTCCCATCTAAGTCTAAGTCTGAACTACCCAATACAAACAGTCATCCCGGCCGGCATAGGGAAAGCGTTGGGGTCGCAGAGTTATAGTTTTCAATGCAAAACCAATTACCTCTGGATGAAGACAAAATAATGTCCGGAAACGCCGGAGTGGTAGCGATTTGGGTCACCCATCCACTGTGACCCTTCAGGGTACCCTTCATTATCACTTTTTCGTTCATGGTCATGATTCTTGGTTCCGTCTAGTCGAAGATGACGACGGATTTTTAAGCCGCAAAATCGGCAGATGGTCAGTTCGGCAGCGAAGGGCCGTGAAAAGAGATCGAGGATAGTCGGGTTCCGCCGAACATCGCTGCAGTTTTGACATAATGGATGTGTATTATTGGGATTTCATTAGAGGCGGTACCTAGTCTTGGTGGCGCTATTTACGCCGCGCCGATATGCGACAGGATTGGGGGCGGGGCTACGGTTCTGTTGGGGGAGCATAATTTCACCAAATCAAACGAAAACAGGATACAAACTTAGACAAATTTGACTTCTTCTTTTTTCTTCAACTTGTGAGTATCTCTCAATAATCAAAATTTGTCATTAGCGGTTAGACTATAGAATATTGAATGTACAATTGTCATGAATACTCGGCCCCATTTATCAAAAAGAACTAAAATAATGTTTGCTTGGAAAATCTTATTGGCAATAATTTGATCATTATTTTGTATAATGTATTGACTCTGAACTTGTAAGTAAACAACGCAAACTTAAAGACGGCAGCTTCAAACACAAACAACAAAATGACACAAAAGGAAACTGAATACGGAAACGTTCATAAATTCAACACATTTTATTAGGTGATTAAAACAAACAAAATAATAATTAAAAAAAAAAACACAAGTATTGTAGGTGGTTCATCATGACAGCCATTAAAACATACTTCATCACAGTTTATAGTGTTTTACAAACTACTGTTACAGGAACAATTACCATCCCATAAATACAACTTTTATTTGCAAATTTGAGGAGCGATTTTCGGGTAAAACATCCGGAGTGCGGTAAAATACATATTTTTGGTATCAGTTACAATGCTTAATCATTGTTTCCACCTTAAAGTATTTAACAAGCCAACCGTTGAACTCCGCTCACAGAATTACAAAAGACAGTTTTTCCACACAAACTTGACTTCGATTTAAATTTGCCCTATCAAGAAATACTCCCTAAACAATTACAATTATTTACTCCATAGAATGGCTCTGTACAATAGTATCACATTTTAGGGGATCTAACATTATTTGGCTGCAAAATGATGTCAAACGAACATAAACTAAAAAAAAAGAGTAAAGAAATTGATAAATTAAACCATAAGGTTACTGACGTTACACTTGAAATTCCTATAGCATACGTTTTACAAACATTGTTATCACTTTAAGATTATTACGGTAAGGTATTTTTTTTATTGGGGGAGGCATCCACCTCTTGTTTACGGTTCTATAAAGTTAAAACGTTAATGTTATGGGTACATTTTGTGAATTATCTGTCTAAAAATTAAAACAATAGGTGAGACCAGCTCGAAAAGAAAGATCAATTGACGCGTTAACATAGATGGTGGATATATGAACAAGAAGAATACATGTATAAATGTGGCTACAAAAGGATATCTTAATATGCAATCATGCAATGCGAGATACTTCGATGGATCTACTGGTTAAACAATGGTCCAGTGCTGAAAAAAATATGTTTTTAATGGGAAACACATTTAACACATTGGTCAGAGATAAAGTGTATACTTTAAAAATAACAGCTTATCATGTACATGTATGTAATAACAAAACTTGTGAGAAAACTACTACATGTATTTCTATTTTTGAAACTTTTGTCACATATTTATTGTGAGAAAAGGACTAGTACAAAACCTTTTTCAATTGATAAAGTGTTTTTCTAATGAACAAACATCATAGAGCTATATTAAATAACTAGAACGCAAATTCGCTGTACAAAGTGAAGCATCCATGTTTGTGCACTAACCTATGGGGAACCCCCAAATTTAGTGCGGCTTTAGTATGGCTATTTGCATATCTACGATTGTATTCTATACCGAAGCCGATATGCTCAAAGCCTAAACGCACGATCAGTAAATGAGCATTTCATTGTGCTCAGCACAAACAACGCAAACACGTGCGCGTATGTGCTGCAGATGATTGTTGCCGTCATTACTCGTAGAAAACGCACTTACGTTGTACTCGCGTATGTTGAACTCGCACGTTGCATTTCGAGTACACTATTCGAAATTCTTTCCATCTTATTTGATTATGTTCTACAAACACGCACATGAATTCAAAATGCCTGCGCTCAGATCGGCCTCAAAGTATCTCCACAGGGGAATGAGGAGTTAGCGCTCTAGTAATTTAATATAGCTCCATGATGTGCGTGTATCTCCATATGTAAGAGAATGAGAAATACAGTACATTAATAAAACATTGGAACTTAGTCTAGATGAACAAAAAAATTACACAATGACAAAGTAAACTGAAGCATTTACTTAGATAAACTATCACGGATTAAAAGTGTTGTAGTTGAATCCATCATAAGCCATCACAAGGCCTCGCAAGACCATCACAGACAATCACAAGTCCTGCAGTCCCAAGTCAAGTCGCAACCTATTCAAATGAGCTTTGACAAAGGCATTCCTTTGTTATTGGTCATCCCCTGTGTACTTGTAACCGGACTTGTGCACGGACTTGCGATTTCCTCGTTTGGGACTTATCAGTACAAGTACATGTATGTTGGACTCGACTACAATATTTCTGGGTCAAAATAAACAAGCCACCAAACTGATTTTACTCTTAGACACAGATAAAGTATTTAATGACAATGTAGCCAATACGTAAAAAAAAAATGGACCGATGTGTCATATTTTTTTCTGACCGCTACGATGACAAACTATCAAAGAAAGGAATTATTAGAATCCCTTAACCCCAACAAAATAACGGGAAGTGTCTAAAACTGCTTGCACTATAAAACATTACTTTTAATACAGTAGTTAGTATATTTTAACAGTTTTGCCAAATTGTTTTTAAAATTTATTTTCACAAGTGCACATCTACGTATGTTCTGTGAAACCCAACACTTTATGCGTCAGGAATGTTTAAATTAAGAAGTACCACCACTAACTAAGAACCTTCATATTTCCATTTAATTAAGTCTAAACGGACTGTTTACGAATGAAAATGTTAGCCATTTGCATACAGCAGTCTATTAAACCGATTTCACTTTTGTCGCATTTTTGTTACATTTACTTGCGCTTGCTGCGCATTTGTGAAACCGCTCCTACGAACCATAACCCAAAAGGCAGCTAAACGTTGAAACAAGTAAGCCTACAGAGCGGAACCCTTCAAAACCCTTCAAAACCCTACCAAATCAGGTATGTGCATTTTGGCAGAGTTACAGTGAGTTGGGTTAAACTACTTGCTATTTTTTACACAAACTTTCTACACATTTTTACGCCGTGAAGTCTAGTTTTAGCACTTCAGGGCAAAATTATTACTCATGTGAAAAACTGGTTCAAACTTCCCACGAATGTGACAAAAGGAAATATTCGCTGCAAAATTTGCCAAATTTGCAGCGCGAACACTTGTCGGGTACGCATTTGCGTTCGCATTCGCCCGAGTATGAACTAGAATTAAGTTAACAATCAATGAAATATAAATCTCAAGCGTTTTTTTTTATAATTAAAAAAAGCAACAACACCCAAACAACTGAGACACATGTTGAAATGTAATTAAATGAAAATAAGCCCATTGTTTATTCACAATATAAACGGGCCTGCGAACCGTACATCTTTCCCAAAATAAAGTTCACACTCAATGGGTCAATTCAACAAACTTGCCATTGCAAAACAACACACACACATACAAGAATGCCACAACTATTGAAAAGGATTTTTGAAATGAATTTAAATAATTTTTTTATAAGGAGTTCAAATGAAATTCGCATTCTTAACCCCCAAAATGATGTAAAACATGTTGTCTACTGCGATATTAAAAACATAGATGATTTCTAGAAGTACATGTTGTATTTTCCAATTAACTCCGCCCAGTTTTAAGATACTAACATCCCCCCCCCACAACCCCGTTACTCTAGGTACACAAACAATTTCTTCATGCTACATCGTCACACATACAAATGAGAAGACGTAGTAAACTACATGTACGTTCATTTACGTGTATTACAAAACTTTAGGGACAAGGACTTTGTATAGATAGAGGTATATATTTTTGTTTATAGTTTGAGTAAGCTCACGTGCGCGTAACTCTACATAGGTCCTGCAAATGTCTTACTTTATACATTTGATGTTAAATTTTCAGTACATTTAGCTCGACGACTTGCTTTTATCAAGAAGTTGGTACAAAAACAATTTATTTCCGTATTCTATTAACTGAATTTTGTGAAATGTTTTAAAGATTAAGTTGTTGCGAATGTAAAAGATGCGTCAAGTTGTATTATACTGTTCTTACTAACAATTTCCAATAGAAAGAATCAAGTAAGGATGTTTTTTTTCTAGACTACTTTTACCGAAATTACTTTTAGGCTGTTTTTTTGGGAGGGGAACGTTTTCCAAAAATTAGCGTACATCGCGAATAATTGGTCACGTAGCACAGTCATTTTTTTAACAAATAGTCTTTTCGTCAACAACCTCGTCTTGCCAACTTAAAAACCCAATAATTTGACAAACGTAGCTATCCAAAGCTTGCGAGTCGCTGACACAGCATGTATACACTCACTGGATTGACGTGTGGTTATCTGCATACGTACATTACACATCAATTGAAGTTGCGGGATTTTAAATTTTTTTTTTTGCGTTTATGTTGACGCAATACTTACACACAGAGAGCACTCACAACGCACGCTTCTATTTTACAGGAAGTAGTCGGGGGTACGCCGGGTTACATGCGGTTCTCCCCTTCTGGGGGCGGGGTCAAACTGTAAACTGTGGACAAAGAAAAACGGAAATTGTTAGAATAGAGAAGGATGTCATCATGTGGTCTAAGGTTCGAACACTACTCAAGTCACTCAATGGGGGGGGGGAGGGAAAGGCAAGGGCGTCGATTGCATTTCAAAAGTGGGGTAGACATATGGCCTGATCAGGACTAATGCGAGTGTGAAGTGCGAAGCCCTGACGGCGTGGGGTTCGGGGCCCGCTTAAGGGCCCCGAAAGTTTTTGGATTCTAGACAGACGCTCTGTGGTGCGATCTGATTCAATTTCTGACCACTTTAACCAAATTTTACGAGCATATGATCGTCATTTAAACATCATTTTCAAGTTGAGAGTCATTGAATCAGCTATTCTGAGCTATAGAATCATATGTAGTCTACAATTTTTATTCGGGGACAAAAAAAAGTGTGAGGGGGGGCAAACTATATATCCACCCCACTTTAAAAAGTGGGGGGGGGGGAAACTTGTTCTCCCTCCGCCCCCCCCCCCCCCCCTCCTCCTCCCAACTGATTGACGCCCATGGGGGTAGGGAGAAGTCTTTGTGTAAGCAATGAGAAGAGATTGCAGTTCTCTCCTTCTGGGGGCGGGGCCAAACTGAAGACACAACTTACAAGGAATATTTTAGTGCATCGTCTAGTTCCATGATGGCCGCTTGATTGCCGCATCGGTAGCAGTAGTTGGGGGCGCTGAAAATAGTGACTACATTACGATCGTGACACCAGTTGTAACCCTGCAAGGAAAAACAAAACCAATAAATTGAATCATTAACTATTCTCAAGTGGAATAATTGTATTTATGTGTACAATTTATTTATTTGACTAGCAATTGTAACCCAATACTTTTTTTTGTTACTGTTTATTTTTGACAACCATCAGATAGTAACTTCTGCATTTTAGAGGAAGTGAATGCTCATTGTATGTTAATGAAACCATGATGACATTGTCAGTTTTAGCAGACAAGACAGGTCTGCTGGATGGAGATTGGCAATTGTTGTAAAGTGTCTTGCCTAAGAACACAAACACCATGTTCTCTGTCAATTTTGGACAATGTGTGCCATTTATACTCCTGGGTGGAAAGAGGCAATTGTAGAAACGTTTCTAGCCTAAGAACACAAGCACCATGTTCTCTGTCAATTTTGGACAATGAGTGCCATTTATACTCCTGGGTGGAGAGAGACAATTGTAGTAAAGTGTCTTGCCCAATAACATAAGCACCATGTTTCCGTGTCAAATGTATTTTTCTCAACTTCATTTTGTCTTAGGCACATTACCAAACTAACAACACAGGTACCCATTTTTTTACTCCTGGATGGACAATTGTAGTAAAGTGTCTTGCCTATGAACACAAGCACGACCACTGATCTGCCTAGAAATTACCTCCATGACGAGTTGATGGGCTCTGGATATGAGAGTCAGTCCGTTCATGTGGTTGAAGTTCTCCGATATATCCTGGCCGAAGGTGTAGCCCGCACCACGGGGGGAGATACCCCAGCCACCGCGGTCATCGGGGTCGGACCAAAGCAGGTCACACATGGGACCCTGCGGGGAAGAAAAACAAAATAAATCAATGCGACGATCGAGATCAGAAACTCACTAAACATGAAAATATTCACACTGAGTAAACAGTGTTAAAAAAACATCGGTGAAGGGCAAAACCTAATTTGATTTATATCACCCCGACGCAAAATTCCATCTTAAAATAGTTTATGCGGTACCCGCTGCTATGTACATCAGATTCGAACCGGCCAACCGATCCCGTTAGCTCGGTGGTCGAGTGGTAAGACATCTGCACTGGAAAGCAGGAGGTCGTGGGTTCGAGTCCCACCCGAGTGATTTTTTCCAACTTTCACTCGGGAGGTAACACACTGAGTATACTGTGTTAAAAAAAACGTCGGTGAAGGGCAAGACCTAATTTGATTTATATCACCCCGACGCAAAATTCCATCTTATAATGAAAATATTCGCTTAGCGAAAACGGGTTACCAGGCAAAATGACATGCAATGTGCACTGCTTGTTAACTAGTTCCTAGCCGTTTCTTGCTGAGCTCCTAAAACTGCTTGGCAAACATTTCCACTAAACAGCTCCGTGAAATTTGACACGGCAGAGGGCGCTGTTGCATTTTCACAATCGGCCAGTTCGGTAGTTGCAACTTCGCATGTGTGCGCAATGATATGGGTCATGGGTCATTCAGGACAATCGAACGCTCAATGGAGGCGCATGAACGCACAAGGAGAAGCTCGCGTGACGCTTGCCTTAATTACGAGCAGAATGTCACGTTCCCGAGACATCGCGGTTACAAGATGCTTCCATTTCAAACCAAATGGCCTTTGACATGGACTTCTTCATCGAGATACCGAACTGGCTTGTAGCTGAGACATCTCACTACAAATGGAATTTTAAACCTTAAACCTACAATTTCCTACCAGAACTGAACTTTGAAAAAAAAAATTAACGAAAATAAACAAGGTTTTTGGTACCGATGGGCATTTTGGGAAACTGCAAGTCTTTTTACTAAGATTTTTTTTTTTTTTTTTAACGACAAGACTAACCTCATGAGGGACTTCTTGAAGGCGATCCAATGCACGAATGTGGTCCAGGGTGTCAATAGAGGGAGACAGACCACCGTGAAGACAAAATATCTGTGCCAATTAAAAAAAATATGAAAAACTTAGAAGATGTACTACAGATTACATATACTTGTAGATTATAGAGGAATTTAAGGGGAACAAAATTAAAATCTACATGCAGATTATCAGATTGTTCCACATTTCCTTCAGAACATATGAAAATAAATTTCTGTGACTTTCAGAGGAGGAATTGAAATTCATATATCAATTTTACTTCCTTAACGATAACAACATTATATCACACAACTTCCTCCAAGGTTGACTTACTTGTTTTTAAATGGTTAAATATGTATTCATATCAAATGTTTGTATTTGAGTACAGAGAATATCAAAATTATACTGATTTTTATATTAACACTGTCAACCCTAACGTACCTGAATCCATCAAAATCCATACCTTTGAGTTGGAGTATTTTGGCGGCTTCAGGATACCTCCATATTGAACACAGGGGGAGGGGGGGTTATGGATTCAGGATTGTAAGCCTAGCAATACGGTGCGATTTTGATGGATTCAGGATACCTCCATACTGAGCAGTTACCCACACCAATTTTTTTTGTGCATGACACAATAGGCAGATTTTGGCGGATTCAGGATACTTTCTAGCAAAAGTGCTCAAGGGTTAGGGTTAACCCTAACAGAACTCAACCCATCGAACCCCAACGGCATGTTTTGTTGGAATCTGTCTGGATGGGTACAGTATCCCTAAACTGACAGTCTCTTACATTGGGTTGGCGCACCTCCAGAATCAAAGTCAGAAATATAAGTGTGCAGTTTCCCACATGGTGTTGGAATTTGCCAGGATGGGTACGGTTCCTAGTAAATCGTGCCAGGGAGTTTGAGTTAAGCTGCCCACATGTTTAACATGCACTTCGAAATTTAGAATTTGAGTATTTTCGCTCAAATCTAAGTTGGAATAATTGAATGTTAAATTATTCAACATATGTGCAGCCCTACAACTGGTCATCGTCAAATCTTACCTGTCCGTCCACCAGCGCGGTCAGGGGAAGGTAGTCAAAGAGATCGGTGAAGTACTTCCAGACGTTGGGGTTGCCGTACTTGCGTAGGCACTCGTCGTAGAAGCCGTAGACCTGCGTGATCTGCCGACTCTCGTGGTTCCCTCGCAAGATGGTGATGCGTTCCGGAAATCGCACCTGGCAAAAAAAGATTGGAACAATAGTCTTAGCATTTTTGGGGGATTTTGCTTTCGGTTAGTCTGTTCGTTTTTTTTCCCTTCTCTTCCACATTTAGTGTAGGGGCTAGACATTGTTATGGTTTGATACGAGATAACCTGCCGCCGCGGGAGGACGTTATTACGACCAACCAACATCACCCACGAACCCGTCCGCAACAACGTCTAGCCTGGGCCAATCAGCAATGGTTTTGTTATGCGCGCGCGCACCTATTTGGCCTAATATACATGTATGCACCGCCCATTCAAAACATTTCATTGTAGTTCCAAACTAAACTATTAAATTTCTTCCAGTAGTCTAACAGATGCAGCTTTTGTGCAACTTCACTGGTCACAGTCCTTCTGTTTTGAGGCGTGCGATCACACCCCCACGCCATCACATGCCTAAATGCTTCCTGAGAAGTGCGAATAATCGCACGCCTGAATCCCTCCGTACCGCACACCTCGGCATACATTTACGGCACAATTATACTTCAAAATTTGTGAAAATAAAGTAGGTCGGTGAAGAGAATATGGCTTTATTGTAAATCAAGGTGAATATTTTGGAAAAGAGTACCAGATTGTTCAGTCCCAGCTTGGACCACAGAATCACACGCCAAGAAAAATCACACGCCTTGAAAAATCACACGCCTAGGAAACTCCAGGTGTGCGTTTTTCCACACACCTGTGATTTTCAAATCAGAAGGACTGTGGTCAGCTCTTTTGTGGTGTGTAGGGTGCGTGGGACTGAACATGGACCGTAATTGCCTGCAGAAGTAGCGCATGCGCATTAGTTTCTCCCACTTTTCGGGGGGTGGGGTGGGGGGATATTTTACCAATTTCCCTAGACGCTGTTCCTGACGGGTTCGTGGGTGATATTGGTTGGTCGTGATAATGCCCTCTCGTGGCAGCAGGTTATCGCGGTGGCGGGTTATCACGTATTATAAACCAGAACAAAGTCTAGCCCTTAGACTATTTCACATTCAGCACAATAACTTTTCCATGACTATTTCAGGACAAAGTTAGGGCTATCCATGACCAATTCCTATGCTGTTTTTTGGGCATCTTGGGGGCCTATTTACAATACACTGGCCAGTCATCACGCTGAGGCAAGGGACGCAACTCCCTTTCAGCCTTCCAGTTTATAATAATAATAATAATAATTTGGGAGGCTAATCATCCTTACTCGCAGCTGGTATGCTGAATTGCGAAGGACGCGGCTACAACGAAGACTGACATAGCCAAATATTAAGTATCATCATATTGTGCAGGATTCCATGACTATTTCTTGAAATACTGACTTTCCATGACTAGACTCCTTTCAAAATTACAAATTCCATGACATTCCATGATAGCTTTGAAGGTACATGTAATATTAAACATTTGCTTTTGCTGTAATTTTCAGAAATGGATGGATTTGGGGGGTTAGTATTTTACCGCAAATATTGTCACACCGAACTGTTTGAAATTCTGTGTTCATAGATGCTGGGGGGGGGGGGGGGGGGGGGGGAGTTGTTCTTGTAGTCTGGTTCCGTGACCCCACTTCAGATGAAACAGACTAATTTTACAGTTGTCAGGGACTGACAGGTCAGGGAACCAGACTAACTGGCTTGCGCCCGTTCACGGATGTGTAACCAATTGCAAACAAAATGTGCACTGACTAAATATGGTAAATTGGGGGCGCTATATAAAAAAAAACAGTTTTCTTCCAACTGATCGTTGGCTGACCATTGGAAATTGATACCAAAACTCAACTTTTCTTGAAAATGGCAGCAGACCAGGTGCCATGATTTCACAGGATGCCCGAGACTGTTATTCACTTACATGTACAGTCAAGTAAGGCATTTCATAATAATTTGGTAGTATTTGTTTTTGATGTTTGCAAATGTTGTAAATAACCTTTAAATTCTAGGATTTTTCAATGACTATGGGGAATCCTGCCAAGTGTACCACAGCCAGCACTCACCTTTAATGACACTAATAACGACACTGTTTCTACCGAGTAGTACCCACGATCCACGTAGTCACCCATGAAGAGGTAGTTTGTGTCGGGAGACTTGCCCCCAATTCTGAACAGCTCCATCAGGTCGTGGAACTGACCGTGGACATCGCCGCACACCGTGACTGGGCATTTCACTTCTTGGACGTTGGACTCTTTGGATAAAATCTCCCTAGCCTGAAGAACGGACAAGAAAAAAAAAGAGAATTCTCAGAAAGGGAAACTTACTAGGCGCATTTTAAACTTGAACAATGAAATTGACTGGAACGGGGCTTGAACCTGCGACCTATGGACATGATGGATTGCTGTTCCAGTGCTCTACCAACTGAGCTATCAATGTCTTGTCCGTGTCTTTTTTCAAAGGGCGCTAGTCAGAAGCCATAAACCCATGTATGCCATGCAGCCAGGGTACGATCAAACATTGCTATTATCAGAATTCAAGGACATAAATTATGCGAATAGGGCAACTGGCAAACAGAGCTGCTCATTACGTGACGTTATACTGGCCAAAAGAACAATGCATCGATAAGGGCTTCCCCTGGCTACCAAACTTCTTATTGGTTAAAAATGGTCACATGATGTATTACGACAGCATTTTCCTAATTGCATAGTCGAGAGGTCTTTCCCATATTTTTTGCCAAATCGCCCAATTTTGATGAGTGTTACATTATGTATGTTCGTCTCTCTTTGATTGTTGCACTACTCAGGGATTTTTCATGAAATGCGGCATTTTGTTGGGGAAAGTTGAGACTAGTCTTAGCTACGATTTGGTGTACACAGTAATGACAGTATACATGCAGGTTGACATGCTTCACTTCTTCATAAACTGCTCCATGATCGATATGCAAGAATATTGCGATCGTAAATGACTGCACATGCACACGTGTGCAAATGCTCATTAATTCACGACTTTCACCCAAGAAGTTGACATTGTCATTGCACATGCTCACAACATGATCGAAATATCGTACCCCATCATGACCGTCAGTGGGCGACATTTGTAAGTGCAGAGATCACGCCCAAAGTCACGATGTGACTGTGAGCAACATTACAAATGTTGCATAGTGTTGAAAACCCTGAAAATAGCAAACAGGGAGTTCACACATGACTCAGACAGAGAGTATACAGAGCGTGTTATTACTATTTAGTATTAGGCCTTTCAAATGAAGAAATTTTAAAGGGGAAAACACCAACATGACCAAAATTGCTTACAAATTTGACAAACTAATATACATCAGGCACAATTGCAGAATACCCCGCCACTCGATCTATCCACCTCGTAGCCGGCTACGAGGTCACGGCTGATTGACCTCAATAAACATTCTCAGCGCTACTTGTATGTACTATGCGTCATGCTCCATTGCACTCCCACTTCGTGACCGCGTAGCTGCCAACAGGGTAGTTGGTTTGGACTTAAAAAAATTTCAGCAACTCCCATTCCTTTTGTGTTGCTTCGTTCTCAAGCATATTCAAGGGGACTCCCACTCCATAGCCTCGTAGCCGCCAACAGGGTGGTTGGTTTGGACTTAGATTAGAATTTTTTTCAGCAACTCCCATTCATTTTGTGTTGCTTCGTTCTCAAATAATGGACCCCCACTCAGTATCCGCATAGCTGGCAATGGACTTGAATTGTTTCTTTTGCAGTGATTCCAACCTCGTAGCCGGTGATTTTTGGGGTGTATTTCCGAGTGGCGGGGTATACTGCAATTACTCCATACATCACATAAAAACTATATAACAAGGTTAAATAAAATATAAAAAGATGTAGGCCCTACAGCCTAGTCATGAATACAGATTTATCTGACACTTTTCTTTTTATTCACAATAAACATAAAAAAAATTAAAATTAACGAAGGAACAATTGAACGTCGATGACATTAACACGACTAAAAATTCATGAAAATCAGGCAAGATGTTTAAAACCATGAATACAGGCCTATATGACATGTATGACAAATAACCATGATTTGATAACCCTTATATGCACTACACATAAATTATAATCATGTAACGTAATGTTAAAAAAAAATTGACACTGACATTATTGACTTGACTTGGCAATCAAATCATTCCCGTTCATGCAAATTTGATTTTGAATCAAAATTATTATGACAAAAATCTGATGATCAAACACAATCTTGACAAACAAATATTTAAAAATATATTTCCACACTATTTAAAAAGAAAATGTAATATATATGAAAACACAAGTAAACAGAGAACGGTCGAATTATTGGCGGTACACAGGGGTTGTGTTGAAGTTTTAAACTGCCATGCTTCATCGACCATCGACCTACCTTTTCGCACAGTTGCTTCACTTGATTTTCCTGCAACTGTTTGCACTCGTTAAGCTGCTCAATCCACTGGTCCAGCTCCTTCGCGTGCCCCTTATCTGTCGGACTGGACATTCTAAAATGTTAAGGGTATCCTAAGGAATAGTTTTATCTGTCTCTCAGTAATTCTAAGACTGTAATTACGGTGAATTTCTGGAGGCGAAAATTCTGACTTCCTTCCGTACCGGCAACCTGCGCAACCGCCGTGTGCTTGTCAAACAAACATGGCCGCCCCATTTACGCCGATATGTGGATGACGTCACGACCAACCCGCCAACGAAACGAGGTGACGAAATTTTCCGATCAATAATTAGCCAGGCACCCTTCCTCTCAGACTCGCGATAAAGAGCCCGGTTGAGCCTGGGGCTCAGACAATTTTCATGCGCTTCAAAAATAACTTTTTTTTATCACCAACTGATTAAGATGACTGGAATAACTTTGAGTCATATCAAAAATAAACAGTGGCGGACAATCTGGCTGATTACATTTACAAGTGGATTTTAAACTCTACAATGTGTTTGTCTTTTCCATGCTCATGCTCATGTCATGTAGATCATGACCCTAAAAGTTCGTTTAATACTTGCAAGGCAACATTTGGGCTCACAAGTCACAGCATGAAGTTTACTGGGTAAAAAAAATTACATATTTTGTCCAACTGTCTACTCCCCTTAAATGTCTGAAAACTATTTTGATATCTCTTTTTTATTTAGTTTTATTGAAATGTGTACTTTTTTGCACATTTCAATATGTTCATGCTTTTCCTGACAAATGAGGGCGTTGTTGCTGTGATGTCTTTTCAAGAAGACGTTCAGTTAAGGGGCTAAATTTCTGTCCAAAGTGACTGACTGTGAACTCAAAATGTGATCACTGAAAACATATGCGAGAAAAGTTCGCTCATTGGCTGTACTGACACAACAACGAATCACTAAAAGAAATTTTTCGACGGCAAAACTATCCCAAAAAAACACCAAAATGAAAATTGAAAAATAAGGTTAAACGGGACAAAAATGGTGCATTTTCAAGGACCTTACATGCACCCATGAAAGGCAATATACATTAAACGAACTTGAAAAGGCGTTTCACCCAGTAAAACCCTAAATATTGTTGATGTACGGTACCTTAACGTGGCGTGGCCCCTAACGTGGCGCACTTTGATTTTTTTGCATGTAGCGCCTAGCTAGAGCAAAAGTTTAACTGAAATTTCACAGAAAGTGAACTTTCATCAAGTTCTAAACACTCCCGTTCATAAATCACGAGTTTATCTACCCGTTTCAAAGCGGATCGCGGAAGAAACAATTATTTTGGCGTGACCAAGTTTCCAATTTTATTTCGTAGTGCACTGAACCCTTTGAAAATGCCCCACAAAAATAAGAAAATAATTTTCTGACAATTTTCTAGTTGGGTATTAAGTAAAGATAATAATGGTTTATCAGAATTTATCAACTTTACAGAAATGCTTATTTGAAATTTTCCGAGATTTGTTCAAGTGCACCACGTTAGGGAACACTCAGCCGATTTTATGCCCTATTTCCGTACCACCACCGTTTTGGAATTTCGAATTAAAATTCATGACACCGAAATTATTCACAGAGGTTAAATAGCAAGCATTAATTAATAATCAGGCAAAAAGTATACCAGTATTTAACTGAATGAATTTGAAGTTTGTCAACAAAGAAATTTGGCAACACCTCATGAGGAAAGTTTGGGTAAACGTCGAAGTGCGCCACGTTATAAAGTGAGACAAAAATAGCGGAACCGAAACCCCAACTGCAAAAATATATCTTATATTTAAAAAAACAAATATGTAGCACCCAAAAAAATGACTGGAAAGCCAAGTTCAGACACTACCTTTAGATGAAAAAATTACCGAAATTGCTCAATCCTTTTATAGAATATCACCATATAAACGCAATGACCCTAAAACCTGTTTCGTCAAAAAAAATAAAGCATGCATGTGTTCTGACTGTTTGGAACACTGAACAAAGAAAATGACACAGAATACTTGTTGTAACAATTACTGTCAACAACAGTACTATCTTTATTAATAACCCTGCTTTAGGTAAAAAACATGATTTATACAATCTACTTTTATTAAAAGGCAGACCGTCAAAAGGACTTTGTTGAATATGTTTAACTTTTAAACTAAAGTTTTATCGCTGGTGATGTTTGAAATATTGTTGTGACGATTCTTGAAATCGCATTTTTGGACGAAAGAGCTTTAATTTAAGGGTCATTGTGTTTAAATAGTGATATCGATATGGACTGAGCAAGGTCAGTAAAAAAAATTCATCTAAAAGTAGCTTATTGGCTTTACAGTCGTTATTATTTTTGATGCTGCATGGTTTTTTTTAATATAAATATTTTTTTGAGGTTTGGTTTCCGATTTATTTGACTCAGCCTACTGTGCACTGCTGAATCAGAAAGTTGTAGAATAGTACTGATATTGTCTGCAGCCAAAATGGGATCGAGAAACAATTCAATAACAAGACTTTTTTGCCTTTGAATGTCTCATTAAAAAAACTTTTGCATTGCTTGCAAAATAAAAAAAAATTGAAACACAAAAAAAATCTATTTTTAGAGTGCAAGTCAAAACAGTGGTAGATTTGCGCTTGTTTTATATCTAAAATACACTAGATTGTCGGCCGGGCGCACAAATAACTCGCAATTTGTCCAGAAATATTATTTCATTTAGCTAACTGGTGGCCGGGTAGATGTTTTTTAGTTCATTGTCTCATTCGAAAGTGATTCATTTATGCTAGTTTGTACTGCTAGAAAAATGCACATGCAGCGCAGATATCGCAGGCAACTTTCTCTGTCAATGTGCGCCCTCTCTGTTGGAAGTATTCGCTCAAAGTACGTCACAAGTCTGGACTACAGCCTCGCATATGAAGTCATAATCCGATACGACACGACGTGAAATAGAATGGGCCGGAGCCAGATGGTATATTGTTGATCGACTGTACTGTACTGAGAGTCAAGAATTGAAGTACATGTAAGTGTATCGCTACACGGCATTTTTTCTCCACCAAAACATCTGTTCTGAAGCGTTCTTGAGAAACAACTGTCAAGAAATTAAGGGGTAGATTTCCCCCTGATTGTTGGGGCATCATTATGTATCCACCACAGGATCAGCCTCCCCCGTATAATCCAAATTATCCTGATTATAACCAACAACAAGCGTACCACCAGCACGGCTACCCACCACCGGCTCAGCAAGCACCGCAACAGCAGCAAGGCGGCTACCCAGGGCAAGGCCCTAAACCCGGCCACGGAGGGCGGAGTAGGGCCGGTGATCCGAGACGCGCACAACAGGCTCAGCCTAAACAAGGGCAAGGGCAAAGCAGGTTGGGTGTTGTTGTTTTCTTATCCATCGATTCAAACAGATTTGTTGACTTCATATTGCTTGTCATGTTTTGGGGATTTTGTTTGTTTTATTTCGAATAAATTCGATATAATGATAGGCCTACAGTCTGAGCTAGAGGCTACATGACTCATCAGCATGAATGATCAGTACGAATTCCGGATCACTTTTTATAAAAACTGCTGTACACCCGTCGTACGGCTAGAACTATGGGATTCTGCCAAAATCATTACTCAGTAATACTTGAGATTTCCTAATAAGAAAACTAGATGTAGTGAAAAAAAAAAACGAGTAAATGTTGACTACGTTCTACAGGAAACCAGATTTTTGCCTTGACGCGCTTCCTTTCACAGGCCAGTTACAAAACAAGCGGATGTTTCGCAGAACTGGATCGTAGGTAATGTTTGAGCCAGGGTTGGCAGATTTAAATCACGTTGATTTAAATCACTGAATTAAAATCGTGATTTAAATCAAATGATTTTTTTATAAAAATCACTGATTTAAATCACATTTTTGTAAAAATCTTATTTTTGATCAAAATCAATTGATTGAGGGTCATTTTAATCATTTAAATCAACTGATTCGACTTAATTACAAAGTGTAAAATGTGCTATTAGAAGTCGCAATTGATAGTCTTATTCCTAACGTTTCGCCCTACAAATTTAGATTGAGATTTATATAAACCTTTTAAAGGTGCAAGGCCTGATTTCTGTTCTCCACCTTGGACCATCAATCAAACACTAAGTTAAACAAGGATCAGTGACGCCTGATTTGAAATAAGAGGCATTTTTATGAAATCAACGTCCCCATGGAGAACTGTCATATTTTTTTTATACCATGTACACTTTCTTTTCCCCGACAATTGCAAAATGATAGACCTTCAAATTGATAAAAAAATATTGAAAAAATAAGTAGAAAGTAGTTTTTATTATTTAATAAAGTGATCCAGACTTGTCGATGATCGGGAACTGTCACACTGACTGTAGGGCATGAAGGGGCTTTTTCGGAAAGAATGTTGCAACCTGAGGCCACTTTTTTCCTTTATACTAGGCCCGCATATGTATATCGTCTCAATAAAGGTCATTCATTGCAAAAATGTTGAAAAAGACATGAATCTGGGACTGAGAAACATTTCCAATTTTGTTAGGAAATACTGAAAAAAAATGTCTTTACTCTCCATAGACTTTTAGTGATTGTACACAACCGCTGAAGTGGCGTCTGGATACTACGGTACATGAAGTTGTACATTCTTTTCGTTTGATTATTATATTAAACATGTTAAATAGTACTTAGCGGGCCTACTACATGTACTAGTACTAGTGCTAGTTTTATTTACAATTTCGAGAGACAATGAGTATTTTTTGTAACGGAGCCTTTCTGCAACTTGCCAGTTTGATGCAGTTTACATGTACATGTACATGTACGTCTTCAAAACTTGTTTTCCAACTGTAACAAACTTTTTTCTCTTTTTCATTGATGGTGCAGTTTGTTTCATTGGAAAGAATGTTGCAACCTGACGCCACCTCAGAGATTGTAAACAAAGTCTATGGAGAGTCAAGAAAATAGTCTAACTTAAAGTATTTGCTAACAAAATTGGAAATGTTACGAAGTCCCAGATTTATATCTTATCGTCATTTTTGCAATGAATGACCTTCATTGAGATGATATAAGAAGAAAAAAGTGGCGTCACGTTGCAACATTCTCTCCATTTCATTTTTGTCAAACAAAATATATATTAATTTCAACTCTTGTCTCAACTTTTGGTCACAGCACACAAAATATTTTGTAACTGAACTTTTCGACCAGGACTCTGGTCTTCATCGGCATCGATGATCCAGAGTCAACCATCTCAAGATTTGAGATCTAATCACCAATACGGATGAACATTCACACTCAACAAAATACATGTTTACAATCTGACAGGAACCCACAGCCCAAACAGCAGCAGCAGCAGAGGCAAGCACAGCCCAAGCCCAAAGGAGGTCGCACCCGCCCAGCCATCAAGGATGTCTCTGAAATCAGCCTCTGCATCAAGTACTCGTTATTTTTCGCCAATTTCTTCTTTTGGGTGAGTGGTGATTTCTTCAGTATACACAAAATATAACATAACTTGAGGGTGGATGATATACAAATATTGATTGGCTCAGCGTGGAATGGGAAGAATATTATCGCAAGGTAAAATCTGGACTTTTCCATTTCACGAGGCGAAGCCGAGTGAACTGGAAAAGTCCAGATTTTACCGAGTGATAATATTCCTCTCGTTTCACAATTTCAAGCCACTCAATATTTGTTTTATATAACTGACATATAGATCCTTGTCATTTGATATATTTGAACTTTTATTTCAATACAAAATTGGTAGAAAATGTATTTCTCTTTTCCAAACCACCCCTTCACAAAAATGTTTGAACCCAACGCTGTAGCGCTGGCTCTTTAGAACGATACGCCCTACGCGCAACGCTGAACGCGAACACCAGCATGAATTTGCACACAAATACCGCGCATGGAACAAAGGTGATCCAAACTGTTCAATAGTATTTCCCATTCCCCATGGGCGAATGGGAGTTATTGAGCCCCGGCGTGAATGGGAGCAATAACGAATGTCACGTGATGTGAGTTCCACCAATCAAATGACAAGGATCTGTATGTCGGTTATAATCAATATTAGCTCCCCGAGGTATTGGAAGTTGACAAACCATTTGTCAGACTTGTTTGCCAACTTCCAATGCAGAGGGCAGAGCAGTATTGACTATTCACCAGAAATAAACCAGGTTATATTTGTTTTACCCTGTTTACATGTACCTCATACATATTCACCAAAAAGTCAACAAGTTTCACAATAATCTAAAATACACTCTTATTTGATTCAAAATGGGTTTTATATATCTAGCTATGGGTTGAATGAAAGGTAAACTTATGTTACTTCTGTGTTGCAGACTACAGTTTTAGGAAACTGTAACAACAAAATTGCAGGACAATTTTCAATGTCCTTTTTTTTGTATCATGAGTGACGACCAACGAATGGATTGAATTTTTCTTTCCATGTTTGAGTACCTCTTACCCCAAGGTTGTTGTATGGCTGGTTTGCTTCAGCTTGATCAAATACTTTTGAAGCAGTGAGAGTTCAAAGTAGCCTCATGGCATGTGCATGTAAGTGTAACGTGAGTGACGGTTGAATTGCCCTGGACATTTTTCCCATTTCCAGTTTCATCTCTGGTACATGATGTGCAGCCTTTGTTTTCATTGGACTTGCGTGACCATGTACATGTACAGTCATGACAGTAAAAAAGTTGCCTGTTGAACAGTACCAAATGTCTCCTATTTGATCTACATGTACATGTAGTCTGTGTCACCTTGTGCCACAATCACTTCTTTGTCACTCAGAGTGTACATCAGGAACTAGTCCCACTCTGTATACGACACCCATACATGGATGACTCACTCATTGACCTTGTACAACCCACAGCCAGTTGCCCAATATTTATTGATGGAAAGGGAAAACTTATTGTTAGTACATGTATTTGAGAGCTATAAATTACCTTAGAGCGCTAACTCCTCATTTTGACAGGCGGAGAAACTTTGTAGCCAGGCATGCAACTTTTCCTCGGATCTGCTGATTTCCTCGTTTTTTTACTTCACGTGAATGCCATTACAAATTGAAAAACACTGTACAACGTCTTATGTAGTTTGGAATTTCCTCGTTTTTATTGTTTTGAATTCTCAGATGCATGCCTGTGTATCCTTCCTGTGTGCAGACATTTTGAATATCATGCATGCGTTTGTAGAACATGACGAAATTAGATGGCGTGAATTTTGAAAGTGTACTTAACACTACAGTCAATGTGCAAACTTGTACATATGTACATGTACAATGTACAACGTTACGCAAACAACTTAAGCGCGTCATGATGGTTAAAAAAACATCACAGTGAAATTCATCTGCAGCGGATAGGCGCAAGCTTTTGCGTTGATTGCATGGAGCATTTGAAAATAAAACACTCATTTACTGATCGTGCATTACGGTTTTGGGAGTATCTGCTTTGATAACGCACCTACATAACGCAGATATGCAAATAGTTGTACAAAAGCAGTAAGAAATTTCAAGTTTTCCATGTGCACATACATGGGTGCGCCCAGCAGGCTTCACTTTGTGCATCGAGTCAGCACTCTAGTAATTTAATACTGTAGCTCTATATGGTTTGAACGCATCACATTTATTGTGCATGGTATTTTATGATACCGTGTACTATGTATAGTCATTCCGATGACTTATGGAGAGAATATTATTGAGTCACTGTACTGATGCATCTACGGTAGGCCCAATTTTAATCCAGCAATTTATAATCATACATGTACCAAAATCCAAATCTGCCTAAAAGGGTGTGTTCGCGATGGCTCCACATTTGGAATTGTTTTTCTCATGAATGTCAATGTCTGCGGAAAGTTCCATTTCTCTATGAATGTGGGAACAATATTTCCAGGGTGGGCATAATGAAAACACCCCCCCCCTTTTTTTCTTATATGGTTGCCACGCCCCTAAAAGGGTGTGTTCGAGATGGCTCCACATCTGGAATTGTTTTTCTCATGAATGTCAATGTCTGTGGAAAGTTCCATTTCTCTATGAATGTGGGAACAATATTTCCAGGGTGGGCATAATGAAAACCTCGCCCCCTTTTTTTTCTTATATGGTTGCCACGCCCCTAAAAGGGTGTGTTCGAGATGGCTCCACATTTGGAATTTGTTTTTTTCTCATGAATATCAATGTTTGTGGAAAGTTCCATTTCTCTATGAGTGTGGGAACAATATTTCCATGGTGGGCATGATGAAACCCCGCCCCTTTTTTTCTTATACATGTATGGTTGCCACGTCCCTAAAAGGGTGTGCTCGTGATGGCTCCACATCTGGAATTTTTTTTCTCATGAATATAAACGTCTGTGGGACATTTTATTCGTTCATGAAATATGGGCACTATGTTTTCCAAAGTGGGCATAATAATTAAACCCCCCCTTTCTTGTAATGGCTGCCACGCCCCAAAAAGGTACTTTTGTGGTGGCTCCGAATCTGGTAAACACAAATAATCTATACATCCATCCAATTGCTATAATTTACCAAAGGTTAAGATTTGTCAATATGTCTGGAGGTATTTCTGCTTGAGGGGTTTCTTTAGTTTGAAAATACATGTACCTACATGTATGGTACATGGACACCATTTCAAAACAATGATACTTTTTCTTCTTGCATCTTGTAAACAGCAGCAAGTTTGGAGAATTCAACTTTTAAAAAACTCAACTTGGAGTGAGTTGAACATATTAAAATCAAAATCTTTCAGATAGCCTACAGTGTACTGTATGGAGATAGCAAGCCATGTAGGCCTACCTATGCTACAGGACGTAAAAAGTGCGGACACCAAATGTACTGTAGCATATGTAACAGAATTTTCACATGCATGTAATATCAACGCGAGCAGCTTTTGTACAATTTTATGCATAGATATGGTAGATGGTACACATTTCCAAATTCTAGGATACATAACTAGTAGCAAAGTAAACACTGCGTGACAAATGGGATGGAAATTACATGTACACTCATACGAAAAAACTCGCTGTTCCCCCATGAAATTTTTCTTTTTCTTTTAAGGTTAATCACTTTTGTGCAGATAATCAGTAAACATATGACTTTTATAGAACAATATTCAAAACATGGAACATAGTCAAGCAATCATAAAATCTTTGATGTGCAAGAACATACATGTGGGTCTGTCCAGTGTCCACACTAGAAACTGCTCAACTTCAAAACATCAAAACTACACGTACATTGTACATACTGTACAAATGTACATGTAACTCTCATTTGTGTTAAAGATCACACAACGCACTTCAATTATTCTGGTATTTACAATGTACACGTAAATTATTAGGGCTCGCGCACTCGCTGTTTGCTGCCGGTGATCACTTTGTGTACAAAACGAATTCGCGCAACATACAAACGCCCGGTGATATTGTTTCAAAAAGTCGGATGTTTTCATTCCCCATTTATAAGTTAAAATTTTGAAATATTCCTCGTAATTTATAAAGATAGTTCAATGATGTAATAAACTTACATATTTTCCCATTGTGATTGGGATTGGAGTCGAAATTACACTGGTTTTTGCTGTTTGAAAAGTCTCATTTTAACTCCGAGTACGAAAAATGCTGCGCGCACGACATGTTACGTTCACGGGCCATGCGGCACGCACAGCCCGGTACATGCGTTCAAGATCCACGGCAAGAATTGTCTGCCCTGGTGACTGTGTTTAACTCGGTCTCGACGGTAGTAGGCCTATAGCATACATGTAGCAGACGTCAAGAAACCATATGCCAGTCAAAAGCTTACTGAAAATTTCATTCAACCATCCACGTTCCATGATAATCGGCCAATGCGTTGCAAAGTTACGATTCTTTTTGTTTTTCCCAAAACTTTTTCGTCACGAAATACACTGAAAATAATAATGGAACCTTGGAAATTGTAATTAGTGATATCGAAGCTTGAATTTCCTTTTTTAAAACCTTCAAAATATGATTTTATTTTAGAGTTGTAGACATATTTGTGTCGCGATGGATTTTCATCATGGCGCCTTCTGTTTGACAGTGCGCGTCGTGTAAGCATCACAGTTTCGTTCCCGGCACGCGATAGTGAAAAAGCAACGAAAAATTATCACGTTTGAGATCGAGTGCAGCCAAAACATTGTCATGTGATGCGTATTATTGTCGCGTAATGCATATTCTACACTGGTTCCCTTCATGACCCATACGGTCAGGATATATTAGTGGATACCAGTGTTACACTGTAAGTCCTTCGTTTTTGGAAACCGTCCAGACTCCATCGCACGTGGTGTAAACGAAATGGAACTCAGAGTGTTTTTTCTACCGCAGTCCCGGCGATCATTTCACTTTTTGCCCACATCGTAGTACCTCGATCTTAATAATCGATCTCTCCTTGTATCTCAGGTGGCGTATCTAATAACTTTGTGGCCGTTTTTGAGAGTGAAATCTGATGTTTTTTTAAGTTAGTTGGGTGGCTAAAGCATGT